GGTAACGCACATCGAGCCACCAATTGACACACTTAAGGTAATACTTGGCACTTACGACGTCAACTTCATAGCTTAGTCGAAGGCTAGTGAATGCTAAGTTTTTACGGCTCCCTAAAGAATTAACAAAATGAAGTCTTATAATGGACAAAAAGACCCGCTACATGAGATCCCTTATAATTTTCTGATCAATATATCTTCTTCATTTCATGTAAGGAAAGTTAATTTAAATTTTCTTCTTTTTATAGTTCTCGACTATAAAGAAATAGTACAAATAATGCAAACCAGCTGAATACTAAATAGACAATGAAATACGACCTTGTACTTCCAACCAGGCTTTATAAATATTCTTTATGGTAGAAATTCACGAAGTCCTAGTAATATTGAATGTAATGTGTATCGCAGGTTTGGTTATGTAGCTGAAACTTGCAGAAAGCCCGACCCAGTTGGCTTGGAGCCCGTCTGTAGGTCATAGCATCATACAGATATGCGACTCGCTTTATTTAACCTTGAATAAAATTTATTCAAGTGACCTTCATATTTGCATTTAAGTTTCATGATTTATTATTTTCATATATTGGATTTACCTTTAACATTTCTTGTAATTGCAGTTTTAGAATATTTGTAATCATAGTCCCATAATTGCAATAACTTGGCAATTACGTATTTCTTTTTAGTTATTAATACAAATAAATACTCAAGATTCCAGTTTAATAATACACAATATATCATATACAGAATACAGATATATAACCGCTATTATATAGTTGGCAGTGAATTCTTCTATCGCTATATATATATATATATATATATATATATATATATATTATTATATTATTATATATATATATATATATATATATATATATATATATATATATATATATATATATATATATATATATATATATATATATATATATATATTAGCTAGCTATATTATACTAATTACATTAATTACATACACTAAAATTAATACCACACATAAGTCATGGTCATGGCTAGTATTAAATCATTTAAACATCAATTTTTTGAATGTCAAAGTGCATTTCATAAACAATATATTCCATTTTCTAAAATTACTCAAACATCGTCCACTAAGTACGACTGCAAACAAAATTATTTCTATATAAAGGCAATTTCCGCAAAGGAATTACGGCTGAAAATAAGCAGAACACGCAGATTGTCCGTAGCGACGTCGCGTCGCTGCTGCACTTTGGGCTCTAGGGGGTTTAGACATTCAAAGGGTGGCAGGGGGAAGTGTAAAATCACCCACAATCATTTATACCCGAACTGCCTGCAGAATTACTAGCCGTCAGCTTTGCGACATTCCTGCATCCAGTAAGAGTAGGAGTTTATTGAAACTCATTTGTAATCTTAGCCATGACAAGAAAACAAAATAAAATAATAAATGTAACTTTCCAAAAACTAGGGAGTAGTTTCTTTGTTTGAGAAATTAACATCTCCAAAATGTCTAGGCTAATTTCCATAACTTATTGTTTCAATTGAAATTATTTTAAGTATCGTAATAATTTTGTTGAAACTGAAGTATAAAAAAAATATATATACTTAAAATAATATTTTAGACGATATAGACAATGTATAGAAAATATTAAGTAAGCTGCAAATGAGAAATTACACAAAATTTACAGACCAACTAATATTTTCAACCTCTCGAGCAGGATATAAATACATTACTTCAGTCCCTTGTTCTTGCTTTCTACGTCTGTCATATTTAAAACTTTAAAGTCATCCACATACTAAAGAACTTTAAAATCAACTATAATATTTTTTTTTAATTGTCGTCACATAACTGTTGAAGCTCAACAGTAAGTGTGTGTTGTTATTTTAGAAAATGTTATAATCCTAGGCAACAGCTAAAGATTACAACATCATTTCGTTTCTATATTTTTTATACACTATAGCAATCACAATAAGTTTATATTTTATATTCGTCAGTATTGAGGTTATTTGAAAGTCGACACGAGGCCACGTGGTGAGATGCGACGTTTTAGCTATTTGTGTCAGGAGCCTGCATCCGTGACCCACTTCACAAACACCCCATTCCGAACTCCCACACTACCGTATATTTTGGTCTACGTTATATCAAGCGCTGGTTATATTGCCAACTAGTTTTCGCTCACTGATGGCTCTAAAAAAAGCATTTCATGTTTTTAGTTCCTAAAGGTTTAATGAAAGTAAATAATGCAAATATTATTGCGATTTTCGCAACACAGTAATTTGCTATATCCTTTTTTATGCCAAGTCTCTCGCAGAGTAGTCGAAGGAAATCGAGGACCAAAAACCTCTATTCTCAGGCTTACTTCATTCAAGTACTTGTAGATAGGTACTTATTTTTTTTAATGGATAGCCGAAAATTACACCAGCCACTAACGCCATTAAATTTAAAAATTTATAGAAAAAATCTTTCTTAAACAGAAACAACCCTCGGCTCGTAAAGCTAGCTCTCATTATAGAATGTAGTGCACTTGCAAAATATATATCATTTTGTAATGTTTTTATCCTTTTCATAAATTTATTGGTACACTAGTTTTCATTTACTACTTTTATACCTATTTATATTTTTTTTTTCTTTTTGTGTAATATCCCTATATCGTATATGTAAATATTTGATAATAAAATGGTGCCCCGTATAAATGAAAACTGAAAATTTGCACTGAACGCGCACAGTCAAGCAATATACGTGAAACACTCAGAAAGTTTTGCGATACTAAAAAAAATGTTCTATAGGTAAATATATTTTTATTACATCTTTTCAAAGTACTCTCAACCAGCATCTATACAAAATTTCATGCGTCTGAACCAGTTTTCGAAGTACTTTTTCCAGTTTACAACCTGCTCGAACGCTGAAAGCGTATCATCTCTCATTATCTTTGAGTTGATTTTTTACTTTTGGAAATAAGAAGAAGTCACACGGTGCTAGGTCGGGCCTGTAATGAGGGTGACCCAGGAGTTTGACCGATGTGCTCTCTAGGAAGTCCCTCCTTTTGATTGCGGTGTGGGCGGGCACATTATCGTGGTGGTGCAGTAGCCCGCGGAGCCGTGTTTGGTCGCTTGTTGCTCACAACAGAGAAAACTTCTGCCAAGCATTTGGTAGTATACCATTCGGCGTTAATGCATCTTTGGTTTCGTACATTATAATTTTTGTACCATTGTAAAGAATTGCAATAAATTATAAATTCAAATTCAAATTCAAATTCAAAAATCATTTATTCATGTAGGACATTTTAGCCGCTTATGAACGTCATTGACAATAAGTAGCCATATAGGTGTCTATGTCAAATGTTTTGAATTTATTTAAGGGTAATTGCAACATATCCTTTGGTATCTTATTGTAAATTTTTATACCTATTCCCATAAAAGACCTATTAACTTTTTCTAAACGATACTTGGGGACAGCAAGTGAAAAAGCTCGCGATCAAAATCTATATAAATTGAGAAGCACGGTGAGAAAAATTTTTCTTTGAATTTCTCTCTTAATGAGTCACGACCTTCATACAGGTATTTTTGTAATATGAATATATTCTTAATAATTTTCCCCATTAATATTCCATAGAGAGTAAACTACCAAAATAGACATCTATAATTCAGTTTGTCTACTTTTGAACTTAAAGAATTTGTGCAATAAATTGATTCCTAGAAAGACATATTATTAAAACTTTTAGACAGAGAGAAATTAACACATTTTGTTTTTTTAATTTAACATATTGTTAGTTGTAAACCAGTGCAGGAGACGCCGCAAAGCACTATTTACATCGTCATAATTATTAGTCATTCTATTAACTTTAAAAATCAATGAAGTATCGTCTGCAAACAATACTATGCCGCATCTATACATATTATTAAAATGTAAAAATGACAATCTTACCTGCGCTATTCGTGTATTCTATCAAATAGATAAGATTTTATTAAATTTAAAGCATTGTCTTTGACGCCATAAAAAGTTTTTTTAGCAATGTATTATGATCAACGCAATCAAAAGCCTTAGAAAGGTCAAGCCTATGGTTGACGGTTTATGATAAGTTCTCACTAAGGTTTTTACCTATAATAAAATCATGACCCGACTTGATTCGTTGCAACGAAAACACGATGCAGCACCTTGCGTGTAATTATTTTTAACACACTTAAATAATAAGGAAATAAATGAATATGATTCGCATAAACTGGCTATTTTAATGTACATCATCTTTTAACACGTTTATGATCGCTGAAGATATATCTTGCAATAACTAGAAATACACTATAATAAATTGCATTTCTTTAGTGTCCATGAAAATGTTAAAACCTGCGCAGATAAGAGACAATCTCAATGTATTCGTATTCTAAATAGGTGTATGTAGAATTATTACAATCGACATTAACATTTTAGCAATTTTCTTAAAAATTTTATGTAATAGTTATAGTAAATTATATTTTTGTACAAATGAAATTGCAATTTTTCAGGTATATCTCATTTATTTAAAAATATTTCTTTTATTTTTTCGTAAAACAGATGCATCTAGAACACTAATCATTAATCCTTTAATATGCTTATAACATTATAAACTTAATTATAAAACCAATTAACTGAAAAAATGATAATATAATATACCTACACGGATTGTTGTAATGATTGGCTTAACAACGTACGATTTTATGTTATTATTTTCATATTATTTACATAGATTATCGCTTCAAAGAGGTATGAATAGTTAGTAAATTGTAATCAACAAAAATCGAAAATTTATTATCGATCAAGATTTGTTTTATTTTAAAGCGACTTCAAAAAGGTTCTAAATTCAGTTTTATTTTTTTTTTTTTATGTTTGTGACATCATAAATCTGTCACTTCTGAACAAATATTGAAAATTCTATTTTTTATCTAAAAGGATATACTTACAGATTGGTCTAATAGAAATTTTATCAAAATAGGTTTAGTAGTTTAGTTTTACATCAAACTAACTAGTATTGTTACAATTGAAGTCGGTTTTTTTGTGGGCCACAGTCTTTAATTATTAATATAATGCTTTGTTTGGTCTCTCGAATTCTTATTTTAAAATTACTACGAACACTTTTAAGTTGATCTTTTCTAGTTACAACAACCACATCACCTTGTGTTAACACAAGTAAATCTAACAACCTATATAACACTTATATAAAATAATCGATACGAATATACGGCGCGTTTTTAAATGCGCCCGCCACGGTTACAAGATCGTTACACACGTAATATAAATAAATATATGCCAAAGACAGAAATATACAAAACAACGGCTGCTATTGCGCAAACATACCAAATTTTGGTTTCATTTTTTAGTTTTAAAATAAACCCCACATCCGTGACGTGCAATTTAAAACCGCTCTATGAGCTCTTAGCCTATACAATAAATTATAACTTACTAACAGAGGTCACTTATGGCCATTAATATACTTAGAATACTAACCTTAACTTTATATTTACAGGAACTACTATATCAACAATTTATAATAAACTACCGATATTATAGAGATCCAAACAACATTATTATAGAGAAAAATATACCGCAATTCATGTGGTGTATCTATCATATAGTTAAATTAAAAACAAAACCTGAAAGCTCAGTTAGTTTTGTACAATAAACTTAACTAAATTTACGATTTTAATAAATATTTCATATATGATTATATTTTGGCATTATTCGTTTTCTTACTTATACCTATATTAAAAAAAAAAACGCTGTATATTTAAGAGCAATTATTAACTCTCATCGTTGGTTGATAAAATATATATTTTGTATTAAACATTATTGACGACTACACACATTCGATTGATTACAATCGGCAATATACGAATAATATATCATTCAGGTTATCCCTGAAGATTGTATATTATTGCTATGGTCCATGTAATTTACTTAGAACAGATTCAATATCTATATTTTGTATGTTTGCTGAATTAAATAAGTACTGAGCATCTGATTTGGACTTTTTATTTTCAGACACAGATTCATCTGATGTGTTACCACTTTGCATTCTTTTACGTTTTTTTAATTCCGACTTGTTTTTATCATCCACATTTTCTATTTCTAATACTATTTCTGTTACAGTAAATTCAGGATTGGATTGTTTCGGACTTGTTGCTTTTAGTGGCGTATCTAGACTTGTTAATGTAGAATCAAATATGTCATAACATTGAGCCTTTACCGATTGTTTTAATGGCGTGTACAAACTATCATATTTAGATGTAGTTACTTCATCATTCTGTGGATCAATTTTTTGATCTAAATCCAAAAGCATACTAAAAGGCGTAGCTTTTAATCTAATCAAGACTCCATCATCTATGCATACCTCCATTGTAAATTTATCTTTTAATTTTGTTGATTCTATTTTAGTCATATCAATAGTATCATCATGAGAACACATCAAATAATTTTCACTCTCTTCATTACATTCACATACTGATAATTCAATTTCATCTTCATACTCAACCTGCTCTCCTTGTGTTATTTGCAAATTATTTAATACATTATTATCTGATATGATAGTATTATCATTTTTTTTTTCTTCATTAGTAACTTCTGTTTCTATACAAGACCTTAAATTTAATGTACCTTCTGGCTTAGAATAAGGAGGTGTATCTAACAAATCTCGCTCTATGATCTTTGCGGTTTCAATATCAAAACCTCTTTTTACTAAATCACTGTGTAAACTACCATCGCCCTCATCAGTGCCTGTAATACAAGATACTGTAGTCTCAATATATTTCTGGATTTTTGTAATATCTTCTATCTCATTCGCTGTTGTATCTTTTTCTTTGTGTTTTACATCCTGGGAACCGTCATCAGACCATCTCAACGGTGGTGTATTTCCATCAACTACGTGTTCTGTATCAGAATCAAGTAAACCTAAGGCTTTTGAGTTTTGCTCTAAATTTTGTTTAGGCGCAGTTATTAAATCAGGAGAATTATGACCAGAACTTTCGGAATTAAATGATTTTGTACAGTGAAGTTTCCTAGGCGTAGAAGATTTTCGTCTTGATTTAGTCGGTACAATTATAACTGCAGGCATAATGTTGCTAACTTTTTCTTTACTAGATGTTCGTTTTCGTGTCTGAGATTTTGTTGTGAGAGTATCAGAACACACCACTCCTTTTTTTTTATTTTTTCCATCTAAAGACACCTTCGTAGGTGTGGGTCGTCTCGGTTTTATTTTCATAAACGACTTTACAACCTCTTTCTTTGGTGATTTAAGTTTTTTTGTACTGGATCTTTTCTTTTTAACAGATTTTTGTTTTGTCACAGATAAGTTATCTTGAAGTACTTTTGAAGTATTTTCTTTATTGCTCTTTTTATCGGAAGAACTATTAATAATTTCTAAGTCACTAGATGTACCTTCTGTACTTTTATCTTCTTTAATCTTTTCATCTTTCGTTTTATTTAAATTAGAATTATAATAAGATACATTTTTAGTGCACTGCCGAACTGGTCGAGAAGACTTTATTTTATCTGTGTTCTCTTTAACAACTTTCTCGCTTTTAACTGGCGAATCTATACTTATGTTTTCTTTTGAAGAAGTGCCAGAGTATCCTAAACTTTCTGGATTAGGAATATAATCTTGATCGTCTGGTTTGTAATAAGATCCCCCACTTGAATAGTCGGTAGGTCGAGACGAATAGGAAGACGGGGTGGCATCTACACCTTTTGAACTATTAAAAAATCGAGGTGTAGGTATATTCATTATTTTAATATCCGACATTGGTTCATCTGGTAAATCAGGACCTAAAAATCTGGGAGTTTCCATTTGAATATCATAGAGAGCTTGTTTATAGGGTGTTTCTAGGAAATCCGATATATTAAGTCGAGAACCAATAACATTCTGCAAGGACACTCTTTCCAACTCTGGAGTATCATGTTCTTCATTAGATTTATTTTGATTTTTATCACTTCCATAATTTAAAACTCCCTTGTCAGGAGCAGACACAATATTTATGGTAGGTTTAGGTAAACCACTAATCTTTTCTGTATTACTACTGACATTAGTATCTGTTTTTGGGCTTGAACTTTTTTTATCTTGTTTAGATTTAGAAGTTTTTTTCTTAGTTAACTTTTTTTCATCTGTATTGTCTCTTTCCGTTTTCTTTTTTTTATTACTCTTTGATTTTCTTTTTGTTTGGGTATCGTAGCAATTTTTATCGTTAATTAAAAGAGCGCGTAAATCGGCATCCCAATTGGATTTATTGTTTACTATAATTTTCTTTGTATTATTATCTTCAGATGATTTAATTTCATTGACACGCGTATCGTTGGTAGTATTTTTCCCATTTACAACATCCTTAGCATTTATAATTGTGAGATTAGGACTACTAGTAAGAACTTCTTCAGTAATTACATTATTCTGACTTGGCTCAAGCTCAGATATAGTTTCATGTAATATTCGTCTAGGCGTAGTGAAATCCAACACTCGAACATGAGATGTCCTGCGTGGTGTAGATGATGACTTTCTTGCTGGTGGAAGTCCTTGAGGAGTACCAGTTTCCGTGGAAGTCGCAGTAACGCCATCTTTCGGTACAGAAGCACTAGTTGTATCTACTGTTTTAACCAGTGTGGATGTACTACATGTTTTTTGCATATGTACTGCTGGGAAATTTAGAACAGAAGTTGTAGTTGATGTTGAAATTGTTGGAGCATAATTTGATGAAACATCTATTGTCAAGGGCTGCAGAGATTGTACACAAATAGTACTCACTGGTGTTGTATTAGGTATCTTCTGGGGATTGGTAGTTTGTGACTCAATATTTACAAGATTTTGAGAAGAACCTGTAAATAGAACTTTTATTAACATCTATTGATATAAAATTTTAAATACTACAATAAATAAATATTTTTACCTGAGACTGGTGTTATAATAATTGTAGGCATTGCCATAATTTCATCTTTAGTGTAATTAAGTCTATCTGTAGGCATATGAGTTCCAAGATGTGTCTTAGATTTATAAGCTGATGTTCCATTTATAACGATTGTTCGCATTTGCAATAATGGTGTGGAAGTCGCATTTTGCAAAACAGCAGGCATTTTCATGCTACTATTACTGAGGGTTTCATTATCTACTTTAATGTCTGAAATAATCTTGATCTTATTGTCTTCGCTCTTAGGTTTGATATGTGGATATGGACTTCTGTTAAACTGATCAACATTGATGATTTCATTTGACTGTGAAGCTACTGTATCTTTAACGTTTGCTACTTTTAATAAGAACTGTGTTTGTGTGGTTTTTATAAAATTCTTAGGATCACCAGATATTACGTTTAAACTATGCGGTTCATTGGGTGTAGAGACCCTGCAAAACATGAAAATAATCTGTAGCTTAAATTTATAAATACTGTTCAACAGAATAGTGAATTTTGTCTATTCTTCTTGAATACCTAAACATTCATAGATAAATATTATACATTATTATGTATTCATACATATTACATATAAATTATAAAATTAACTTCCTGTCTAAACAGGAGTTATGAATTCTCATAGAAGAATGTACATACTAAGACCTACTTTTATAATATTAAATATAAAGTTTATCCTGTAGCCTTAAAATAATTAATTAAAGATACTTATACACGAAACAGTCATCACTTATGGACATCCCATAAAAGTTTTAGTCTATTACATAACTAGCTACAATTTACTAATTTAGGATTGTTAATGACCACATCGGTCAATAAGAGACCCTGTCGTGACTACTAATACCTACTCCACGACAATAGTTTAGAAATATCGTTTGTATAAAAAATTATATTATACTAGTTTTTATTTGCGACTTGTTCCATGACCGAGATATATTTACTGACCGAAATTAAAAATATATAATGGATCAAATATATATGGAGAAGAATAATAGCCTATATTCTTCTCCATCCCTTATAGTACGTGTATACCAAATTCTATAATAATTGGTGAAACTGTTAAGGCCTTATAAGGTAACAATAAACAAACTCACTTCCACATTTATAACATTAGTAAGTATTACAATATCATATGTTGTTGTTAGTTTTCTCTTATTATTTTAGAAACGTGGCATAATTTATATGGTACCTTACATATCGATTGGAAAATTATTACAAAAAATAGAGTTGGCAAAGATATCACGTAACATATATACACAAACACAATGTAGTCAAATTTAGAACTTCCTTTCTGATTCAAAGGAAAAATTTAAGTAATAATTTTTCAATTATTAAGATTTTAACCCTTTGCGTAAAAACATATAAGATACTGACAAATAACTTGAACATAATTGCGTTTATACAGAATAACATGTGAGTTGTATAATAATATTTTTCCTATAGTTTTATTTATGTTGTTTATCTACACTTTGTTACAAGTATTTTTACTTGAATACTCACTGCTGCAAATTGATATTATCAGAGGTACTCGAATCAGGTACATTAATATTACTATTTTCACCACCTGCAACATACAATTTGAAGTAATTATTTTCATTATTAATATACTTTCTATTTTTATTTTTAAAAACAAATTCACTGGGAAAAGTTTACTGGAAGAAATCTCTTATTAGAGATAAACTCACCTTTGTACGTTAAAATTAAAATGTTATCATTATGTTTGTTTACAATAAAGAATAAGAACGTTTACACGGCAAAAACAGCAATATACAGACCTATTAAAATTCAAACGTAATTCAGTAAGTAAGTAAGATATAAAGATAAATAAATTATATAGGGATTTCATAAGGATAATTTTATTTTAAAATTCCTCTTCCAACTAATTTTAAATTTAATAATACAATAGGATTCATATTAAACTATCTATTACTTTAAAATTCAATAATAAAAAATACATAATTAGAAACTTCAGAACCAACACACTAGTTAAATCTGTGTATTGTCTAGCAGCCAGTGTTTTTTTATTTTATTTTTTACATTTTAAATTATAAAAATTCAAACATTGCTCGTAGTATGATACAATAATAAACAAATTAACAGTGTTAGATTTAATGGGAGACTACAAAATCCTCAGCATAACTATTTTTGTCGCTAAGCAGCTTGCTTGCATACTATATTTGTTTAAAATGTGGAATATGGCATTGAAATGAAATGGATATTGGGACCCGAGATCTGCATATAAAGATCGGCGATGCCGAAGCAATACTTCTGGTAAACATGATCTGCTGCTATAACCACTTATGTGGTTGTAATACTTTTGAGACTTTTATCCCATAAAAAAAACAGCTGCAGTACAATGAATAATGCAGTAATATAAGTTCAATACCCTATATATATCTTTATATATGTAGCAAAACCGCATAATTTGCAGTAAGTGTTAAAGGTGAAAATAATCACACATAAAATACACATTATAGAAGACATTATAGAAAATCTCAAAAAATGTTATTGCGTTCAATGTCGTCGTTTACATAGTATAGTATGAATTTAAAAATCTTTTATATATAATAATCAGCTTACATTACAAGTAATTGTAATATGCAGTTACAAAACACTATGAAAACAAACTATACTTTCTTACCGCTTACACCAGTTTCAAATTCTTGGAATGTACCAGCATTAGATATTCTTTCATTGGTGTTCACTGCTTGTATCTTTGAATTGTTTTTATTACAAACTAATTTAAGAATGTCATTGAATTCATCAATCTTCTGTCTTGACTCCAATGTATCTGTTGTTTTTATCTACATAACCAATAAGAAATTATTAAGTCGCCAAGCACACATTGCAGTAATTAATATCAATAAATTTGTCTTGACTAGGGATACAATAAGTACATTCCAATTACATTCATATACAATGCAACTGTAAATCTTGGAAAGTTTTTTATTGAAATAAAAATAGATAAATAAAAATTAACTGTATTTGTATCAATTAATAAATAGTCAATATTTGAAAATGAAAAACTTTAACCAATGTGTGTATGCAAAAACTTCAAGTTACTCAGAGAGCTACAGAAGGGCTATACTCGGAGTTGCGCGCCAAAGAACCAAATTTGCCGTCATAGCCTGAAGGATAAAAAAACTGAAGTGGCAATAGGCTCGTCACATAACTCGAAGAAACGACAATTGATGGGAAAGAAAGGTTCTTAAGTGTTGGCCCCTTACAGGCAAACAGTATAGGACCCCCTTTATTTAGAAAATTTAAACTATATATTGTATATAACTATCAATAAACTAATTATAATAAAAATTCAATAAAACATAAGTTTGACTTTATATACTTTCATTTAGTCTATTCTGTTTTTCCATATACAATAACAAATATCAAACTGTTTATTTTATTATTTTTTTTTGAGTTTTGCTTTGTTTGTTTCTGTTTATTGTTTCTTTTGTTTTTCTTTTTTTTTAAGACAAAATGATTGTTTTGGGTGGTGTATGTGTATTATGTTATTGTAATCTTGGCAGCCTGCAAATATCCGAAAGAAATATAAGATTAATTAATATAAACATATTTACTCCCAGTTACTATAATACTTATATAGCTATAATTTATTATATTTACATAAAATTATGCATATTCTGTATACTGTAACTTGATGTCTGATGTCCTAAGTAATTAATCTGATGTGGACTATTTCTCACTTTCATCAAATTTTGGAATCTTGTTTGATGCCGAGAGTAACGGTCCTGACATGTCATCTTTGGATGAAAGATTGGATGTTACCCCGTTTATTAAGAACTTCAATGTAGTGTACATAAATTCCCACAGTGTAACTGCTCACTACTCTAATTTTCTATCAAATTTCGATAATAAAAACATTCGCGCCATTTTAATCAGCATCTTTCACTTCGACTTTTTGTAACTTTAACTTGTAATAGATAACTAATTAACAAATAAGATATATATGTCACTTTGGGAGTTGGTATAAAAAAACCACCCCTAAAAAAAATACATCCTGTTTTCTAGTTTCCAATGTTGCAAAAATTCTAAAAAAATATAATTAGTTTATTATTGATAATTATATACAGTTTCAATTTCTTAAAAATATCTTCAATATGTACCAAGATAAAAAAATAAAAAAAATTCATTAAGGGTTGTCACCCCTGTTATTCACTTACTATAAGGTTTAGGGGTGTGAGATTAAGTATATGGCTTCTTTAGATAAAAAAAAAAACAAGGTAAGAACCCTTCATCAGACACAAGTACAATTTTCATATACTTTACCATCTAAATCCTTGACATGATATGATGAATTGATATTTACTAATGGTGATAATTTTAAAAACAATGGATTATAAGAATTCTTAGTTACTTATATCTACCTACTTATGTAAAAATAAACAAAATAAAGTGGTTTTACTGTATTTTACTGCAGCACCTCTAACTAGGCTTCCCTGATTATAGTCATGAATATAGTTTTTAAATATTCTTTTATATTAATTAATATTGTAAGCAACAGTTACCCTTTACCATATAGTGAGGAACTTATTTGTCTTTTCCAGTAAAATAAAATATATAATAAATAATAACTTACTGAAATATTAGGATCCTGTGCCAAATTACTTTCTTTAATATTTAAATGGACAGGATTACTATTATCTGATATATTTTTGTATATACAAGTAGCTTGTTTTGAACTTATCTCATGTTCAGAGCCTGAATTTGATTGTGATATTGAAGAAACATTATCAGGTACCTTATCATATTTTTTCCTTGTTGTTACATGATTTCCTGTAATGATATAAATTATTTATTTAAAAAAGGTAAAGGATCACATTGGAATTGGTCATTAATTAGTAGAACCCATAGAGTTGATATGATTTTACTAATGCTCATTGATCATATGATATAAAATGCTCAGTATAGTAAATCAAATAAACAAGACAATTAATAAATCAAACCAGTGACTACAATCCAACATTCTGATTCTCTGTCATAGTTTTGAAAATCATCCAAAATAATTTGTATAAAATTATTTTTATTTAAAGTAATGAATTTATTTTTGATTAGGCCTATAAAACATATAAGATACTTATTAAGATAAAAGTATTCTATCTTTCAAGTAAGAGTAAATAATACACAACAACAAAATTACATTAAAATTGATGGAGCAGTTACAGTTATTAGCAAGAATGAACATTGTATCACAGGTGATTGTTATATAAATTGCTTTAAGTGAAAACACTTGTATATTCCCATATGTTTAAATGAAACTTATAAAGTTTATTCAGTTAAATTTATTAATTGTTACTTTCACCTTTTTGTAACAATAACAAAAAGACTATTAATTACTCCATCTAGGATTATAGTCATGACTATGATATATACTAATATAATAAAGCAAAAGAATTTGTTTGAATACACTAATCTCAGGAACTACCAGTCTGATTTGAAAAAATCTTTTAGCATTTAATAGGCCATTTTTTAAGGATACAACATCATGATATGACCAAGGACAAAGCCACAGGATAAATATAGTATTTTTATATATGAAATTATTATCATATCACTCAGAAGTTATTAGTGTAGTTATACTGATAATAACTCCTTTACTTATATATTTTCCTAGAATATAGAATATAAAGAATTTGTACTTTCATATTTTAGATGCAAATGTTACCAAAATCATAAAATATTATCTTAACTCTTACTCACCAGGTAAATCAGATAAGGAAGTTGTTTCCACTGAACTTTGTAGGGGTGTAAAATCACCACTACTAAATTTATTGGTTGTATTAATGTCAATTAGTCTCTTGTTACAAACACAGTGTAGCAGTTTTTGTGCAATACACACTTGGCAGTCTTCATCCATCTTTGAATTTTTTGTTACATTTTGTTTGTCTAGCCTATAATTGTTTTACAACACAATTAGGTAAATAAATACTGTATACCTACATCTATTTTCAACAGATAGCAAATGTAATTGTTACTACTTGTGGATGAAGCAGGTGTTAATTAATTTTTTTCTACTTTGTTTACAACATATTTTATTATTTAATAAAATTATATAATAAGTATTATAAATTTGAAATACAAATCCAACAATGAGCCTTCAGACTTTATACAATAAAACAAAGGTACCAGTAGAAAATATAATACCTATAAACTTACCCTATTTTATCTATAGTATTATCTTGTATTTGAATTTTGTGAATATCTATATTACTAATAAGAAACTTTACAATATCTAATAAGTTTGTGCATTGGAATAGTCTCTTACGTAAAATAAGTGGTTTACAGGTTTCCACTGAAAAGAAAATAGTAATTATATTCACTTGCTTGTATGTTCCCATTCATTAAGTACAGGAATTATTCAGACAATTTCAAAACAACAAAGGCATGTTACGTATGTCCATTTTCATTTACTTACCGTATATCTTTACAGCTCTATATTCTGCTAGAATGTTTCTGAGTGATGTCATAAATATTCTATCATATTCATTCCCTAATGCATCTAAATAAGGGCTGGCTTGAAGAAATTCATCATAAGCAGTCATAAGCTGTTCCTCCGCAAGGTACCCTAGAAAATAAAACAATACCATTATCACATTTGTCAAGTTGAGAATACAATTCCCGCCAACCAAATATAAAGCTTACCGAGAACAAGTTTAGCCAAATCTTGCGAAGGAAACGGTGGTAACATAATTGAAGACATGATTTAAAACAGAACCCAAACAATGTTTATTTATAACGCACTTAACACAGAAAATTAAACTGTGACACAAACAAAACACTAGGTCATTTAGTCTTTATACAAAAGTAGGTAAATTGAAACCACCAATACCAACCACCATAACCAACAACATCAACTGCATCATGTTATTTAAAAGTTAGCACTACCCTTGTATTAACGAAACTAGAAATTAAATCTATGTAACCAATTAAGCATATCAACACAAATTATAAATGAATATGTATTCACATATTTTGCTTACTGGATACCCTTAGAATATTTGTATTTGGTATCCAGAATATGAATTTTAAACGGTATCATAAAAGTAATATCTAGGTCCTTTATTTTGCAAAAATTACCATTTCAATAGATTGATTGCATAGAATAAATACAAACGTCGGTTTGTTCAGGGTTGTTTGTATGTGTTCTTAGTCTGGGAACATCAAACAAATTGACATTTTCGCACAGAGTATAAGTTAAAGAGATCATAGAGAATGCCAAAGACCTTGGACTTGTTTTTAGCTTGAAGTAAAATAGTTGGAAAGCAATGAACCACAGCAGTGCAAAGGCAGTGGGATTTGGTATAAATAAAAGTAGGCTTCTTATAGTGCAACATAATTATTAGGTAATTGACAATCGCAGTGAGTACAACAAAAGGCCATTACAGTGTTACCATAGACAGTAAATCAAAAGGAACTAACATAAAGTGCTAATAGTTTTAAAATAAAGTGGCTACTACATTTACAACTTTATTTTTTTCTAACCGTTTGTGCTGTTGGCCGTAGATGGCCTTTACAGCTTAATCAAACGCATATGAATGGGAACGTGCGGACGGCACTCCAAATCCGCGAGAGAACAGCGACGATAGGCGTCAGCTTTTTCTTATGAACTGCGGCGTGCACCCAAGGGCGCCAGTGGCTAGAACCTCGGCTTAGGCCACTGCACTTCAACCCCCGTCGACAGACGGAGGGTCAGTATATCGTGACGAATGGGGACTCAGGGCCATAGGGATGCGCTCGGGCGCAAACTTAAACGCGCGCGGACCATGTGTTAAGGTGGGTCTTCGTCCCTGCTGGCGGGGACGGTGTGTGCGGTATACGGTTATATCTGTAGGGGCGCATGGCGAAGATTCCTCGGTAGGGAGGGGAGTCACATATATTCATTATATGTTTTCGCAAAAACCTTACTCACTTATTATAAATATGACAGTGATAATGTTTGTTTATTTGTTACCTTATAGCGCATAAACGGGTTAACTAATCACTATGAATTTTAGTACAGGGTGGCCCATAAGTCCTTAGTAATGAAAAAATTAATTAAAATAAAACTAATTACACTATGAATAATATTTTTATTTGTAAATATAGCTAGAAAAACGGGAATTATTTTTTGTAAATAACGTCGTCCAAATGTAATCCATTACAGTCACGGCACTCTTGCAAACGCCTTCTGAAATTGTCGATGACTGCGCGGCACGTCACTGCTGAAATGCTTGCCATTTCTCTGCGGATGTTTTCTTTTAGGTCATTAATTGACCGCGAGTTAGAGTCGTACACTTTAGCCTTAAGGTAGCCCCACAAAAAAAATCCATTGGAGTCTGATCCGGGCTACAATGGTGGCCAGGAAATGTCTCCTCTCTTAGAGATAACTTTGTTTGGAAAAAGTTGACGGATAACGGGCATAGCAGTATTGGAGGTGTGGGAAGTTGCTCCATCCTGTTAAAACCATGTTCGGGCATTAAAGCCTGGAAAGTTTTGCAATTTTTGTGTGAAAAACTCCTCGATCATGGCCACATATCGCTCCGAAGTAACAGTAACAGCACGCCCTCTGCCGTCCTCAAAAAAGTAAGGCCCTATGATGCCATGGGCTGACATAGCGGCCCAAACTGCACAGTCAGTCAACCGCCACATGGTCCCCTTTGGAAATCATCGTATTGACTTCCAAGTGTATTCATCACGATAGACTAAATGCGCTACCTTTTCATTCTTACCTGTCATCCCTCACTTATGCCCTGCTAGCGTATAGCTTTAGCATAGTCTCTCTAATATGTGAGCATTAGCGCAGGCGGGGTTACCATTACATAATCATCTATTAAAAAAGCAAGATGCAGTCCCAGCCTCTGGCTAGTCCTACCTCTACAGGCGAGCAACAAGACGTCTAGGTACTGTGCAGCAGATAGTGTGAAGAACCATGCTGTCTACCTCGAACGCCAGTTTTAGCCTAACCCGACTTCAGAGGGGGAAAAAGAATTGTTAGTAATGGGTTATAATTTTCCCATCACTAGCAATACACTCTATCAGGTCGACCTCTACGCGGTACCCCCTGGAAACTATCACAGTTAATTTTAGTAGAATTGGTCTTGATGGGCTAACTGACCTACTTTCATCGTCACCTACCATCCTTCACTGGTGCCCCGCCAGCGTATATTAATAGCGCAAGTGAGGTAACCATTCCATTGTCAGCCAATAAAAAAAAAAATTCGACTGCAAATACCATACATTATTTGTTATATTACTGTGCAATTTTTGATTGCAAAGTAATTGCATGGGATGGAGACTTTCATTTTTAACTGATAGCAACACCAATTTCATGACTGCTGATATTGGTTGACTTGGGTGCATTTTGTTCGGGCAGGTTACAGCACTAGTCGCCGCCATTTTACATTTTACTCGTTGATAAATTCGCTTTATACATCAAATATCTATTTTGATTTCAATTCATCTCGTCATCACGCGTTTTCATTTATAAATATCATTTTCCGAGATACTGATATAATGAGTAATACTACTTCAACACCGTTGTTTGCTTGTTCCCGTTGTTTCTCAAGACATCCTTTTGAAGAGTTGTCTCCTGGTGAACAGCTTTGTAAGGTACTTGACTCGTCATATTTTTAAGGAAAAACTCATTGTAACATCATATTTTGTACTATATTTTAATTAAATTATAATATTGATAATTAAAAAATAAAGTAACAGAATTAAGTGAAGAATAGAACTTATGCGTCATTTTTAATTGTGTTATTTTGACGTGTAAATGACGCCTTATTGTTTGCTGATATTCCAGGAATGTCGCGGTTCATTCCCTGTTGTTAAGTGTACATACTGCCGCTCGGAGTTTCAACAAACAAGGTCAGTGTTAGTTGCCAAGAGGTGTTGATACAACACTAAATCATTGGTGAATTTTTCATTATGATCATGGAATCTCGAAAATATTTGTAACGAATAGAGAATAAAGCAACAAAATGTTGGATTTTTTAAGGCTCTGATGAGCAGACTCTTTTCTATTTTTATTTAAATAATGTAAACATTTATATTTTGACCACTTGGGATATTACGATGAATTTACTGGGTACATAGGTATAGCCATAGGACAAGCATAAGTCAAAGTATGCCATAAGCATTACACTTTATTTTGTGATACCCATAGTTCTGTATATGTCTATAAGTGACATCATTGTCCATCCGCTTGCTTTCCATTAGCTTTTTTGCTGTTTACTTCAATGAAATTTCATATTAGACAAATTTACACATAACAAAATCATGTTCTAAATATTTATTACAGTTATTGATAAATTCAATGTTGATCCAATTTGAGCCTAAAACCATTTACACTCTTTAGAGGATAGAGATTTTATTAGGATATAATTTTCATAATTATCAGTTTTTGCCAAGTGTCAAATCATAAATGTTGCATTTTATGACTTAGAGGCAGAGAGAGAGCAGAGACTTTTTTATTAAAATAGTGGAGTGTGAATGTATTTAATACATTTAGTACTGAATAATTTATTTGATAAATTTATTACAGTAAATCAAATACATCTTCAATTTGCAAAAAATGTGAAGCCAATGTGAAAGCTTATGGGAAACCCACTGCTTGTGAATATTGCAACATTATAGCTGCTTTTATTGGTAAGAATACTTATTATAATGTAGGGACAAATTTTGAGAACTGATCAGATAGAAACAGCCATGGTCTTAGGGGTGGCAAATGTGGCAATTTTTTTCACTCACACACTCACTTTTTTTGGGCCTCGCATAATAACTGAGTGGCATTTTGTCTAGTGGCAAGTTGCAGAAACTTCCTAATTTAGGCACACATTTGAGAATGAACAAAATTACCAAAACTAAGATATACAAATAAAAAAATCAATTGTAAAAAAATTTAAAATAAGACATAGTTTTCTTGAGTCAGTGGAAAATTACCAGTAATTTAAAACTCTAATTTTATTTATTTGTATATCTTTCACATTTCTCATTAAACATGACAAATACCTAAATCAAACAACCAGGCCTAGTTTCGCGTCACATACTATTCACGAAGAATAAAGAGCCTCGCAATAGGTATGGCTGCCACTGGATAGAAATATTTAATTTTATCAATATATATGTATAGTTAGGTAGTTCATTAATTTTAAACAACATTCTCAAGTATCCATTACCTAACCAACAAACCGCAATTATTTTTTATATTAATATATCTGACTTATATACTTATTAGTTTTTGCTACTGTCACTTTTTGGAAGTAAAGAATATTTGCATTGATCTGAATACTATTTACAGGTAATAAATGTCAACGTTGTACTAATTCTGAAAGGAAATATGGTCCTGCTGTCACATGTGAGCAATGCAAACAGCGATGCGCCTTTGATCGACATGATGATAGTAAAAAGGTATATGAAAAGCATTCTTGTCCTGATAACTTTTATATGGTGTTTAATAATGTACTACAAATACATTGTATTTATTAAGTTGTGTGTTGTTAACTAAATCAGTTAAATTTTTTTTTGTTGAAAAAATAATTGGCAAATAAAATAATCAGTTAATTGCATTTTAAATGACAAGATATTATTTTAAAGCCTTTTTACGGTGTTAAATTATTTTACGATGCATCTAGTTAAACAATGTATATTAATTATTATATTTGGATTTTATTTCCGTCTTTTAAAAACCTGTAAAATTTGAGCAGCATTCTCCTTATTCTCAGGTTGATGGAAAGCTGCTGTGTTGGCTGTGCACGCAATCCTTGAAAAGAGCTCTGGCAAGAACTAACCAGCATTTGTCTTCTGTTGATAAACACAAACACAGATCACACAAGTTAGTTGATTTATATATAAACCCAGCATGTTGCAGCATTTAAATAATAAAAAAATGTCTTAATTTTAACATAGTGTTCTTGCTTACTGACCAGACTTCAACTGGCATTACTATGCTTCATATATAAATCCTACAATAAAAGACAAAAGTTTACAGTAGGTATCGTATTTTGCAGGTCTAAAAGCAGTCATAAAGAAAAACGTAAGTCCGACATGATGAAGTCAATGAATTCAAGTGACTCATCACATAATGATTCTCAGCCACTTGAAAAGAAATCCAAGTTGAATCCCCTGCAAGGTAAACGTGAGTTGGTATATTTTTTTTATTATTTTTCTTTTATTTTTTTAATCACCTGTCTCTTATCTGTACATTGTAGAGATATTCTGGCCAATTTTGAAATGATTTTTAGGAGCATGATAATTTATTTTCAACCATTCACTGTTGCTGGTTGTACAAATATAAAAGAAAATAGAGTGGGCAGATATTTAATACACAAGGCTAAGGGAACAACTTATATGTATGTTTATATATATACAAATTAAGATTTCAACCTATGGGGATGTACAGGGTGAAATTGAAATCTTTAACCGATATTTATATAAAACTAAGAATGTACCCATGCTGTAAAAAACATTATTAAAACAAATTTCATGAATCAAAAATTTAAAAATGACAATCTCAATTCACTCATACCCGCACCCATAGTATCTCTAATGATTTATTTACTCAAATATGGGTTTTACAGATGGTACATATTAGGTTATTACACCTCCATGTTTTACCATATATGATGTGCAAATCTACATTTAATATAAATGCTAGTAAAATTCTATTATTATAGTTATAACATCACAATGTCTTAATTATAATACATTATAGAAAACAATTATTACATGCTCGGATTTGATATTGTTATACTGTTCGATTACAGTTTATTTAATAGATCCCAACAATTTCCAATGAATTTTCATTGTTACAGGTGAACTTGATCCTAACAGTTCTGACCATGTGGTGGCTATGACCCAACTGAAGGAAACAATTGCCAGTTTACAGAAAAAAGTGCAACAAAAAGACAATGAGCTTCTCGCCAAAGACAAACTGGTTGGTTCTTCTTAAACATTTTTTAATATTTGTTTATTTAATTATTAGAGTTAGCTAAAGTCTTTAACACGAGTTTTATATATTCACCATATGTGCTTTTACAGATCACAGAATTGAAAGCTCAACACCATAATAACACAACAGATCTTCGGAATGAAATGAAAAATAAGGAGCGTTTGAATGAGACCAAATTTAACCTTATGAATACAAAGATACAAAATCTTTTGAAGGAAGTGGCAACACTTAGCAAGTCTGCCAAGAAGAATAACAAGAATACTAAAGCTGCGCTGGCCGCTACAGAAAACAGCGGCAGTGGCACAGATAGCCCGAGTACCAATTAGAACAATTTCTCCCTTTTACATATTATGTTCTAGTAAGATTACAAACAAATCTGGAAAATATTTTCCTCTTATTTTTTTACTCTACAAATGATTTTATTTGTAGACTTTTTATAATATTAAGTATAAGTAGGTTTCAATTTGATGACGATTTAGTTTTTAATTTATTATTGCAATTAAATTTGTACCAATATTTTAACTAAAGTATAAACATAATTTATTCAATGTAGAGAACACAGACCTTATGTAATGAATGAAAACTGATGCGGGTTAACAGGTATTAGTTAAGTGAATCAAATCTAAGATATATCAGATTTTTTTATACAAAATTATTGATCTTAATCAACAGTGAAATTAGAGAAAATAATTAAAAAAGTACACCATGAAACTGTTCATAGTAGACCTCAGTGTAAAAAAATCTTTCCTTTAGTGATTCTATGCGTCGTTTAGATAATTTGTTCACTCATTTTAGATTATTTTGATCATATTTTTAGTGTTTTGTAGTCAATGATAAAGTTCGGAACATTTATACTTTAATATTTCTGTAACATATATTACATGTTCTAATGTATAGAATTATATGTATAGACTGATCGATCTTACTAGATAATTTCAAAATCGTTACAAAATATAATCAAACGTTTTTCTGATATTGAAAAGTGTTAAAACAGCTTTGTAGATCGTTGAATTATTTAGATATGGTTGTATATATTAGAGAGTGTAATATAATGCTATCGCAGCATCCTAACATTGAAGACTTATTATTTAAATAGTAATTAGACAACAGAAATGTTACACATTGTAACAAACAACCCTTAATTATTTCCCCACCAAATGCTTAGATAACATATTTTTTCGAACAAGTCCGTTTAAAGATATTAAATATTTTATTTTAGTGTACCTATTTAACAAGATAAGTTTTCAAAATGTATATAATCGTATGTTCTTGAAACCAAAACCCAGGCGGTTCTTTTACTGTCTACATGATATATAAAATCACTTGTGTGTGTATATATATATATATATATATATATATATATATATATATATATATATATATATATAACAATGCTTCAGTTCTGGTCTGACAGAGTGCGATATTACCTCTTAACGAAACCCCGTCGGCATGGAGCCCGCTTCCGTTGAAGAGCAGCGCGTCGTAATATATATATATATATATGATGCTGTGATCCATATAAAAAGATTCAGAGAGGGCCGAGACAATGTTGATTGTTTTTTTCGATGTTCGGGGGATTGTCCATCAAGAATTCGTCCCTCCAGGCCAGACAGTTGATGGAAAATTCTACGTCGATGTGCTCAGACGCCTCAAAGCTCGTGTGGCACGAGTTCGTCCAGAATTGGCGCGAGAGGGGCGTTGGATTCTTCACCACGACAATGCCCCTGCCCACACCTCTCTTGTTGTCCGTGAGTTTTTGAGTAAAAATTCCATTACGGTGACCGAACACCCCCTATTCGCCGGATTTGGCCCCGTGTGACTTCTTCTTGTTCCCAAAAACCAAATTGGTACTTCGGGGGCGGCATTTGGGGGACATAAATGAGATAAAAAAAGCTACGACGGGGCAGCTGAGAAACCTACAACCAGTGGACTTTCAAGGAGCCTTCTCACAGTGGAAACGGCGTTGGCACAAGTATTATGTCACAGGGGGAGTACTTTGAAGGGGATAAAATTGATTTACCTAATAATTGTAAAATAAAATTTTTAAAAAACTTTTATACGTACTTTCCGGACAAACCTCGTATATAGTGTAGTTTTGGACAGAGTTAATTGCCAAACGTTAAATTATAATGAAAGATATTCAATTGCATTCTAATTTTTTATTTTCTAATGTTTTGTCATTCCTGCGTAGCAATTGTACGCATATGTGATATTTAAAGAAAGATTATAAAATATACAGTTGCTTTACCAACCCGTGCATAGGACTTTTTTGACAAAACAATTTTATAATGATAACCGATTATAAAATGTTGGTACATATGTATATTTAGCGAGATTTATTTAATGATAACTAAGGACTAGTTACTTACTTTATTATTAAAAAAAAAAGCAAGTCTCCCATAGGTCTTGTGAATGAATGTCATATCAATTTTCTAATAACATTTAAACAGGATGGTGCACAAAAAACGTACACAAATTGCTTTAACTTCGAGGCGTAGATCTTTGCATTCCCCTATATATTGAATTTCTTATAAATTGTCTCTAGTTTGTAAGTGAAAATGTAGAGAATGTAATGTGTCGGATAAGCTATATAAATTTACCCATCGTTTTGGCCTGAAAGTAAACAAGTTATAAAAATATTCTGTCATTATTCACAGGTAGGATAGTGATGGCGTCAAAGGTATTTTGTTTTTAGAGCTATTTCAGACAAGAACTTTCTATAAAGCAAAATATTTTTTTCTTGTATCTATCATGAACTACGAATTCGTATATGCTGTACAATACAGTAATAAATGTTTTTTGGGATTGTCCTTGGTTTAAGTAAAGCCTTATCCAATCCAATCTTAAATATTGTCACTGAAAGAACTAATGTAACTCATTTTACTACATGTATAATCATTTTACTAAATGATGTATAAATATATGGCGCCATCTTGTTTAATTATTTCCTTTAATGTATATTTGCAGCAGCCACATTTGATTGTCAGCAAGTATACAATACTGGTTGTCATATATTTTCCAGAAATATTTTAATATGTGAACATATAATTTGTTTAGTAACATGTTGATCACAAAATTTGTTTTAATTTGAATATTTTTGCCATTGTTTATCAATATATATTATTATGAGTAAAATTTTAAAAATTCGACCTAAAGATTGTTAGACAAAAAGTGAAGAAATAAATATATTAAAATTACTTTGCTTTTTTATTCATTTACTTTAAAGTAGTACCTTTGTATATACAGTTCTATCTTATCTATATCCTAATACATAAAAATTCCGTGTCAGTATGTTTGAATTCGAGTGCATGAAGTGTCAACCTATAGGTCCATTATAATCGAGCTCGGAATTGTGACAAATTCATCAAAAAACCTCTCAGATGCGAGTTGAACTCACATGCGAAGACTCCTCATTTAATATGACAAAATAAGCTTTATTGCATTTTTCATACGAAGTAGATATCGAATAATATTATTAATACTACAATTCGTAATATTTTGGGCCATAATTGTGGTTAAAAATAACCGCAATACCTAAGGTAGTTTTTAGAGGTTTTGGGTATTTTTTCCAAAACGGCGCTAGCTAGTTTTGTTTTTCCTATAATATTCATATATACTTTTATAGACTTTTATACCACTGAGGTGGCAAACAAGCATACGGTCCACCTGATAGTAAGTGGTTCCCGTAGCCTATGAACCCCTGTAATACCAGGGGTGCTACGCGCGCGTTGCCGACCCTGAAGAAACCTCTTTACCCACCTTTTGAAGAATCCCATGTTGTAGTTTCTTGGGAAAACCTCGGCAGGGAGCTCATTCCATAACCTGAGTATTCGTGGGAGAAAACATCTCTGAAACTGCGTTGTACGCGACCATTTAGACTATAGGGAGACATTGGTACGACCTTTATAATGGGCATCCAGTGCTGCCATCCGCGTAAAAATAAATGTCACCTAAGGATAACATATCATTAATATGCAGCAAAAACAGCTTTGGGGATAGCATAGAACCCTGCGGGATGCCAGCATCAATGCCCATACTTTTGGAACAGCAACCATCTACAACGGTTTTTATGCATCTGCCGGACAAAAAACTGGCAACCCATTTACACAGGCTGTCTGGAGTCCATATTAGGGTAAGTCTGATAGAAGGCCCCGATGCTAGACCCGGTCAAAAGCCTTTGCAATATCAAGACCGACAACGAGCGTTTCACCCTGACTCTCAATCTGTCTGGCCCACTCGACTTATAAACATCTAAGGAGAGTAATTCACGCCGGACTTTTGTTATGTTAATTTCCGAAATTCCGTTAACATTGTGTTATGGTAATTTCCGGCATAGAGCTTTCGCAGCACGAGATAGTAGGTGATACAGAATTACCTTCGTCCATAGTCGAGTTAGAGGTAAAGAAATTAGATATTAGGTAAATAAGTTGACTTCTTTAACACTGTAGGCCAAGTTACCATTCGGTTTCCGAAGTGGTGGAAAAGACAACTGACAAAAGTTTCATTAGGCGGCTTTCGCAAGCACGATTACCAGAAAGAAGGCTTGATAGTCGCCTACCAATTTTGATACAGTTCTTATAATTTACCCTCCTTTGAACTGTAACTGAGCTGTAATGCTGTTCATATCTTTAGACAATGGTTATCACTTTAAGTATCATAAAAATATATTTTAATACCGGTTGAACTACCTGTATACCCAAGCAGGGAAGTAGCGTGAGATGAGAGATAGATAAGAATGGAATCAGGTCATAATTCATTATGAATTAACTACGATAGTTGGGAGGAAGGGATTATTAGTAATGTGAACTTCCCCCGGAAATCATTGTGCTGAATTCCAGGTCTATTCATTACAATAGACTAACTGATCTGTCTTTTTATTCTTACCTATCATTCCTTACTGATGCTTCGCCAATGTGTTCCGTTAGCGGAGGCGGAGTTATTATTTCATTATCATCCATTAAAAAAAAAACCACGAGAATTTTCAGAAAAACCGCGCGAAGGTTGATCTAATAGGATCGCTAGCAAAAGGGTCTAGCCATTCCCATTATCCCGCCCCTAATCTCTCAGAATATGTCAACAATCCAAGTGGGGGATTTACTAACAGACTATGTAGGCTAGAGCCTACATAGTCTGTTTTCTTGTAAAAAAAATTAATTAATATAATTGTGAACTAGAGTACTTAATTGTAGAGATTGGTAGAGGCTGCAAAGGTGTGAATCCGCCACTAAATAAGCCTCATAATGTTTATATTCTTATTTAGCCTTTTGTTCACTACTTCGTGCGCGTGAATTTCAGTAGCAGGAGTCTTATTATACGAGGTTTGTCCGGAAAGTACGTATAAAAGTTTTTTAAAAATTTTATTTTACAATTATTCAGGTAAATCAATTTTATCCCCTTCAAAGTACTCCCCCTGTGACATAATGCACTTGTGCCAACGCCGTTTCCACTGTGAGAAGGCTCCTTGAAAGTCCTCTGGTTGTAGGTTTCTCAGCTGCCCCGTCGTAGCTTTTTTTATCTCATTTATGTCCCCCAAATGCCGCCCCCGAAGTACCAATTTGGTTTTTGGGAACAAGAAGAAGTCACACGGGGCCAAATCCGGCGAATAACCGTAATGGAATTTTTACTCAAAAACTCACGGACAACAAGAGAGGTGTGGGCAGGGGCATTGTCGTGGTGAAGAATCCAACGCCCCTCTCGCGCCAATTCTGGACGAACTCGTGCCACACGAGCTTTGAGGCGTCTGAGCACATCGACGTAGAATTTTCCATCAACTGTCTGGCCTGGAGGGACGAATTCTTGATGGACAATCCCCCGAACATCGAAAAAAACAATCAACATTGTCTCGGCCCTCTCTGAATCTTTTTAGCCACTTGTGGACGGTTGGTTCCTTCACAGCATCATCCCCATAAACTGTTCTGAGATCGGCAAAAATTTCACGGCCATTCTTGCCGAGTTTCGAGAGAAACTTGATTACGACGCGCTGCTCTTCAACGGAAGCGGGCTCCATGCCGACGGGGTTTCGTTAAGAGGTAACTTCACAGATGGCGTGACAAGCCAGTTCGCACCGCACGGCGGTCAGACCAGAACTGAAGCATTGTTAGGGACATAAGGAAGGGGTATGGCCTCCCCACATTCCAGAACACTTTTATACGAACTTTCCGGACAGACCTCGTACACATTAGCTAGTTGAAGTAGTAGTAGGTAATACAGGTGATAGAGTGACATCTAAATTTCATTTTGAATATTCTGAATGTAGGTATTGAAATATAAATACCTATGGTAAAGTAATTGAAAACCTGGTGGATAATAGATGGACAGAAAACCTAATAAAATAAGTACTTAAGTAAGTCCATACACATTTAGTTATCTTTTTAAGTACGGAAGTATAAAATACGTGTAGGTATCTATGTATAATTTCGAACCTACAGTTTACATTATAAATAATGGAAACGCCACTCTTACAACACAGTCAAATCCCAGGCATTGACAAAGCAGTTCGTTGCATATTACGGAGTCAGAGCTCTTACTGGCTGGCTGATTTAAGATTTGAAACAATGGCGATACGTGTAGTTCTTCTTTTGAGTTTACTTGTCTATGCACAATGCAAAAGTAAGTTTGTTTAGTTGTTCGTTTTTGTGCCGTTTGGTAATTTGTCCGTTCAATTTAGTGTCTTCGATATAGATGAAAGTACTACGACCAATTTTCTAGTTCATTAAAACAAGAGGACATATAACCCCATACAAACATAGGGATGAAATATAACCAAGGTTGCAAGCCATTCTTACCAGTATATTTATTGTTAACTTTTTTCAGGTTTCTTATATTTTTTTTATGTTTATTACCGTTAAACTACGTTACTTATAAACCGATTTAGACTTTTTTTACCTGAAAGGATATACTTTCGATCAATACCATGGAAATTTCATTAAAATCGGTTCAGTAGTTTAGTTTGCCAATTTTAGGGAGCAATATCTGCTTGTTTACTAAACTTGACCAAGATCGAATATGTATCTATGCATTTATTAAAAAAAAAAACTTGCTTATATACTTATGCACAGAAGAGGTGTAAAAAGAAATTATTATTAGTTTTAGAGTTAACATGCGATCATGTTCGCGAGTTCGTCGATGGGCACAATTCGCGCAGACTGGCACTAGCAAAAGGTGAGGTACCAGCACAACCCGCTGCTTCTACAATGAACCTCATGGTATGTGTAAAGTATTAAATACTGACTTATTAAAACTGTTACAGATTTTTGTAAATTGCAGATAAGTAAAATTCACTGATATTTGCTTAAAATAATATATGTCTTTAATCAATATTGAGCATTAGTTCATGCTTGTACCAAAACAGTACATAGGCTCTAATTGTTTTACATAGATCTGTACATAATTTGAGATTTCATTCATATTTTTTATGTAACTTAAAATGGTAAACAAGCGGACTATTTACGAAAGAGATAATCGTAGCTTACAAATATTTTTCTACAGAAACAAACCAAAGTGACCACACCCTACCTGATGGTAAGCAGGTAATATGGTTCATTTAAATGCCACCCCGCTTAAATGCAGCAGAATTATAGGTCGGAGGAAACACCATACAGTAAACAATACCATAGAGTTTACAGAATACATTGTGACGCCCATAGTTTGCTATTCCTGAGAATCCTCTGTAATCTGTAATTTCAATGTTATATTCCGTCCTTCAATTTACGTAACATAACCATCCTAATCACCGCTAACTCAATATCATGCCGATACAGGTATAAATCATATCTATTATAAAAATAATTATCAAAATCGGTTTAAAATGAGGAAAGAAGTAGCACAAAATATACAAACCAATTGAGAACATGCTCTATCTAGAATATTTTTCTAGATGAACGAAAATAATATTTACTAGTAACAAAAACGTGATGTTTTACTATGGGGAAAACTTTGTAAATTGTGTGTTGTAAATAAACACGTCAATCTAAATTGGATAACAATTTTATCTACTGAACTATTTACACAAATATACATATATAGATATAAATATAGTAGGTATATATTTACATAAGGTTATTACACAATTTTGTAAATAACTAATATAATGTGTAAGTTATACAATATGTTCAGTGGTACCTACTATACACATATTTTTTTAATAGATATCAAAACTTTACTAATATATAAAAACATAGAAATATAATTCTGTGCCTCTAGTGAGAAAGGGTTCAATTCAAAATGGTCACTTTTCAGGAGAGCAAAAAACTATTTAAAATTTTTAAAAATGATTTGAGAGATTTTTGCTAATTTATTATATAAATGATTGCATTTATAGAAATAGTTTTAAATTATTTATTATTATGAAAATTTAAAACCTATAGTTTTAAAAATAATTCTATTATACCTAATCAACGGATAAAAATATTAAAATTATGATGCGAAAATAGTTTTAAGTTGAATTAAAACTATTTTATTCATATTGAAGAAAAACAATGTTGTGTATTTTACCCTATAAAAAATAATCGCTATTAAATGGTGTAAAAGGGTATTTTCATTTTATAAAAAAATTTTTGTAAAATATTTAGTTTTATTTCTAATTATGACTTTTATACCAAAATATTTTGTTAATTGTATTTTACATGTTTGTTATCTCTATTATTTTTAAAGATATTTAATTCTTATACCATTCGAAAAAAAAAATTATATTTATAAAATATTAAAAATTATAACAGAGTTAAAAATTTCTCATAGAGGCACAGAATTTTTTGCAATAAAAAATTAATCAATTTTCTTTAGCGAGCAAAATATTTAATAATTTTTATTTATGATTTGAGAGATTTTGCAATTTATTATATAAATACAGATTGATACAGAAATAGTATTTAAATTATTTATTATTCCAATAATTTATGAAGTGATTGAAAAATTTTCATGCTTTCAATGAAGCGGTAACTCAACGGATAAATTATAATGGAGAATATTTCGATATGGTGTATAACAAATTCATTTAATTTATTCATATCCCGCAAAATTTTCATCCCTTATTAACTATTGGAATATTTTGATATTATAAAAAAAATTCATTTGGTAAATTTTTAACTCTGCTTTTGTAAATCTTGTTGTTTTGTTCATTTTTACATTGCTTTGTTAAAATTATAAATTTTTAAATGTGTTTAATAGTTTTCTTTTGAAAAATTATATTTATAAAATATTAAAAATTATCACAGTATAAAAATTACTAATAAGTAATTTTTATACTGTGATATTATAATAGATTATTTAAATATTGTAAAGATTTATTATTTAATATTTAGTCTCTTCATGGCCGTTTATCCCTCCGTTTATTCCAGACAAAAAATATATTACAAAAAAATAATTATATATATAAATATCTTATCTTGTTTTATTCTTAACTCAAAATAAATTATAATTGGAATTAATCATAAATACGTTATAACAAAGTTATTTAATTTATCAGGTGTGGGATGATGAGCTAGCAGCAAAAGCGACCAAATGGGCATCTCAAAACTCATTTGCTCATAATTCAGATAAAAAAATCGGTATTTATTTTACACTTATGTTTATTTTATGTTAATATATAAAAAAAAAAATATATTTATATATTTTAATTAAAAAATAGATGTTGGCACTTTTCAAACCCAATAACACAATTTAAAAATTAGTTAAGCCATTTAGGATATTGGAAACATATACACCGATATAAATTGCAATAGATCCTTGTTTGGTTACAGAAGATATCTAAGCAAACATATAAATTTTGTTCTCGATTCCCATTTAGATATGTCTACGTCATCTGCCAAAAAACTTACAAAAAATAAAATAAAGACATTCTACAGCATACATTTTTTGGTCATGATACAACATTTAAAAGTATATAGTACAGCACACACGTGTTTTGTAGGAACTAGTAATATATAGCAATATTTATATATTTTATTGTTAATGAGCAAGTAAAAAGCAAGTCAGTTAGCCCATCTTAACGAATTCTACTAGAATTATCCACGATGGTTTCCAAGGGGAACCATGCGTGAAGGTCGACTTGACAGAGTATATTGCTAGTAATGGGGCTATTTGACCCCATTACTAACAATCCCTTTCCACCCTGCCTGCGCTATTAGTATACTCTGGTGGGTTAGATGATCACACCAGTGTTAGATGATCGGCAGGGCTATAGCTAGATCCATGTTTAAGGTAGGGCAAAAGAACTTATTGGTATGGAGAAGCTATAATTAAGTGACTTCGAAAAACCGAATCTGTCTAAATTTCTTTCTTCTTTAATAGAGTCATTCATTTTTAGGTAGGGCATTGCCCCCCTCCCCCTCCCACCCCCAGGCTACAGCCAGGACGATCGGTGATTATGAAGGCAAATTAGAATTAATCATTATGGTTTCCAGGGTGAACTATGTATAGGTCGACCTGATCGACTATATAATAGCAATAGATCTGTTAGGCCTCATTATTAACAATACTTTTCTTCTCAACCGAAACAAATAAAACTATTTACTTTCGTTGGTCATAGACCTCTGTAGTGAATCAGTACGGTGAGAATGCCGATACAAAATGCAGGTTGCATATAAAACTAAGAAAGTATATCCAATTCGTGCGTAGAAAATACTTACTGTTAATATTTTTAGGGTTCCTTATATAGTCGATTAAATATCGATCAAAAAAATAATATAAATAATGCCACCAAGGGACTTCGCGTATAATATAATTCAAATTCGATTTTATTCCATCACAGGCCCTATCTACGGTACCTCTGAAAATTTGATGTCTCCACCCTAGCAAGATGAAAAAATATGATTGGAGATTCTGACATTGACGGCAAGGTCCTGCTGATCTATTAAAAGTACCAACGTCAAATTTGATGCTATCTTGACTGTTGCATGCTCCTCTGGCGCCCTCCCGGTTTCTCGATACCTTCCATGTGCCTCAGTGCCTCTGCGTATCGACTCCAACCGTGCTTTCTCTCCCTAAAGTCGATGCTGTATCCGTGACCCAATAGGCTATCTTAAAAAATTATTTTAGCAAAAATAATGTTATATTGTACAAATGTACCTATTTATTATATTTTAATGTAAACTACCGGTCTAACTTACGCGCCCGCTTTCATATCCGCTCAAGACTAAGGTCCCGAATTGTTCAGAAACTATCGTCGAATTTTCTCGACTAAATACCAATAGCTTTTACATTAAAATATACTGTATACTTACGAAACTTTTAACAATAAAATACCTATCTATTTTTAGCGTTCCTTTATTTCCTATGTCATATCATGCAAATAAAAGTACTTACTCATTCACAATGGACATAAATAAAATTGTTGTGTGTGTATTGATTAAATTATTAAATTCTTTTGCGTTCTGAGTAGAATATAAAAATAAGTAAGTAGGTAGGTAATGTATTTTACTACCTATCTGTTTTATCATACTTAACTCTTAACTATAGGTTTTTTTTTGGTTTTTTTGTTTTTTTAATTTTTTTTTTTTTGGGGGGATTGTTAGTAATGGATTCAAATAGCCCTATTAGTAGCAATATACCCTGTCAGGTCGACCTCTACGTGGTTCCCCCTGGAAACCATCGTGACTAATTCTAGTTTAATTCGTCAGGATGGGCTAACTGACCTACTTTCATCTTCATCTGTCATCCCTCACTGGTACCCCGCCAGTGTATACCAATAGCGCAAACAGGGTTACCATACCATTATCACCCATTAATAAAAAAAAACTTAACTATAGGTATGTATGTTATTTACTTTCATAATATGTGTAATCGACAACATCTGAGATAGGTAGGTACAAATAGAATTTAAAATATATTTAAACTAAAAAAAAACTATGTGGATTTTTTATAGGCAAATACTTCAATAATTTTGTAAAAGAATTGTATTTACTGTTTTAAATAATTACTTACTACCTATTTATTTATTTCTTTGTTACAGGTTCTGGTAGATTCACAACCGGCGAGAATATCTTTATGTTCTCTACTACCAGTCACGCTGTTAAGTTGAATGTAGAGAGCGTCCTGAACGGTTGGTTCAATGAATACGAACACTATACCTATGGACGGTTATTGAAAGACAAAAAGCCTGATAAAGTCCAAACGGGTCACTATACACAGGTTCGCGTAATTCATATTAATGAATAATATGAATGAATAATGGTGTAAAATAATAAATTATTAAAACGTTTTAATAATTTATTAATATGTTTTAATAATTTATTATTTTCCACCTTTAAAGAAAAGCAACTCATTAAAATATTTGCTGTACCTTTACAGGGTTCATGTTGAAGATATACCTTCAAAGCTTAAAGTCTACATTTGCATGTTGTAAGCAAATGCAGGGGGGAATGAATTGTTACTAATTGGGTCTAAAGACCCCGTTGTTAGTAATATACTCTATCAGGTTGACCTCTACAGGGTTTCTTCTGGAAACCATCGCGTTTAATTCTTGTGGAATTTGTCACGATGGACTAATTAACCTGTAGCTTTTATCCTTACTTATCATCGCTCACTGGTGTCTCGATAAAACTGATAGTGGAGGCGGGATTACCATTTCACTCTCAACAATTAAAAAAGACAACATGATAATGCGATAAATGACTGAATTTAGTTGAATTGTTTAACATGGGAGTAAAATCAATCGATTGCAAAAGAATTATGAAAATCGATTCAGTGACAGGATTATCTAATTGAGTGATTTTGAAAAGAGGAAAATCAACAGCATTTGCCGATTTCGGAGATTCTTTTCAGTTCAAAAAGATTTACATACAATTCCGGGCTGATTTTATATGATATTATCAAGAGTGAAAGCTCAGATATATTTTTTGCTTTTTGAGAATAATTTTAACAACGTTAATGTTGGAAAAAAACTTTTGTTCAACTTCATCAACTAGAGAATATGTTTCGTAAGAATATTAAAAAGTCTTCCTAATGCGCCGGTCCATATTGGACTGCTAGAAAATGACAGGAGATTTTAATCGCTTTTGAAATAGAGTTTTAGGTTACTTAAACGAGGTTAATTTACAATAAAAAGAAAAAAATAATAATAAAAAATACTCATACTCTCTCAGATGGTTTGGTCCAACTCCACTTACCTCGGCTGCGGAGTTTCACTGTTCTCTAAATCAGGATGGATGAGTTACATCGTTGTTTGCAATTATGGACCAGCGTAAGTCACAGAAAAATTTTGCACTTCGCACTGTCTAGAATTTTTTCTCACTGCGTACTTATATGGATCTAAGCTAGGTAGGATAAATCCTTAGATTATATAGATGGAGTATCAAGCCTAAAAAACAGGTCAGCTAATTTGAATTAGCTGACCCGTTTTTTATCAATGTTCTAGATACTTACGCATAAAATGTATCTGGACGTATTATTAAATAAATAAAATGAGTGTTTATGCATTAAATAGATGCAGAAATTATAACACAAAATAAATATAAAAGTTATAAAAGAATAATAACTGTTTATCACACAAAATTGTATGAGAAAGATGACTCGTTTTTCTCGAAACTTTTTTAAACCAGTCTGTTTAAAAGCATTTTTAAAAATAAGTTTTAATAATGTAAACTGTCATCCTAGGATTTACGAAGATATTGAATTTTACTATTCAGGCGTTTCTTTTTATACCCATTAAGAGAATTGAAAAAAGATATATAGAGCCGCTATCACAAGATGGTGGCCATTCAAAATAAGTTAAATAAAATCTTGTACAAAACTAAAAAAATATGATATTTTCAGGTCAGCATTTTACATTAACAGCTTGTGTATTCAATTTGATTTATTTGAGTTACATGTACTAAGTTAGATAGGTTAGGCTACTTAGTAAGATTGTTTAGACACTAATTTTGTATATGTATAAATAGGTCCAATTTGTTTTAAAAAGAAAAATGAAAAAATATGACAAACTAAAAGCTACGAAGGCATTAAGTACACAGTATTAAACACATGTAGAGTAGTTCTAAGCAGTGTACTATCTATATTAATAGTAACTATTTCTGTTTGTAATAACTATGATAATTTTCTAATTTAACTATGTCCAAGGCTTCTGTTTGATTTTTTTTTTATATTTTCTTCAACTTACAGGGGTAATATAATTGGTAGTGTTCCATACAAAAGTGGAAAGCCAAGCAGTTCTCTCAAGTGCGCGATGAAGGACTGCAGTTCGGTTTATGGTGATAAGTGTTCATTCAAAAACTGAATAATGTAAATCTTTCATTCTCTTTGAACTTCAAAAGCAAATAATGACGATTTCATTTAATTTTATTGGATAGTTTTAAATAAATAACTAAAATAGGTACTTATAGCCCTTATCAACCTATTAAATTGATTAAGGATTATATTTGAACAAAGTTGATTTGTATTAATTTATATAGTTAATTTTGTACATAGGTAAAATTATACATTACGGAATTGTATTTTAATATAATATGGGTTATACCCAAAAACAATACGAGTATACTTAAGTACTTGCATAGTATTGTTAATTTCCATAATTTCATAATATGTAAATTACTTAAATAAAAGTTTATTTCAAAACAATGACCTTTTTTTGATCGTTTTAGTATGAGATAAATTTAGATTGGATATCAAGATCACGTTGTTCCGTTCCTCTACGAAGGAAAGGGAGGAGGGAGAAATATTTGTTTTTTTACATAGGCGTATATATGTGGTAAGAAATTTTATGTTTTCAAAATCTGTTGCCTTTAGTATTTGCCACCCGTAGGTCTATTGATAAGACCTATTAGTACTTAAATCCAGCCCTGAAACCTACTATTTTATTATAGTTACTGACTGGTGTAATTTCCTTCTATTTTATTAACAAAACTAAACTTTATTGCGACGTGCTGAAGAAGGGCCAAATTAAAAGTACCCGTAACCGGCGAGCGTGTATGAAAAGATTGATGAATGTGGGAAAAGCGAAAGAGGTTTGTTTGAATCTAAGCATTTGGCGTTCCATTGTTTCTGCCTACCCTAATGGGAGACAGGCGTGACAGATATGTATGTATGTATGTAACTAAACTTTATGTGTTTATTTAAATCTTCGACTAATACCCTGGTTATATAAAACGACGTTAACAAATTAAAATAATCCAAGCATCATAGGCTCCCCCAGCCCTATTGAATTCATTTACCTATACTCGCTGAAATTTGGGTATTTCAAGTGTTTACAATTGTAAACATTGAAATGTAAATAAATAATAATAAATTTTCAATAAAATAAAAATCATGTTCAGTAAATATTATTGTACCTATATATAGTTCCTACAAAGATATTTCATAAATATTTTTCAAGAGCGAGAGTCAACTTTGAAAAACAATTCCGTAGTATCTGTAGGCAGATCTATCTATATAATTATAATCAGTAGAAGAATTGTTGATAATCTGTAGATCCTGCCTATTAAAATTATACTTAAACCTTAGACTTACACATATTTGTTTTTAAATGGATGATAATGGCTAGCAGTATACGTTGGCGGGTACCAGTGAGGGATGATAGGTGAGGATGAAAAGGCAGGTCAGTTACCTCAGCGTGATGAGTTCACTTGGAATTGAACATGATGGTTTCCAGGAGGAACCACGAGAAGGTCGACTTGACAGAGTATATTGCTAGTAATGTGACTTAGTAGTCATCCGCATTACTAACAAGTCCTTCTCCCCGACTTACAGATATTATTAAGAAACAAACTACATAGAATATATAGAACATGAAATGAATGAGAATTAACATTTATACTCGTATCAATTTTGATTAGATACTTCAATTAATATTATCAAATATTAAGGACAGAGTTGATTTGGGTAAAATGGACTAAGTAATATAAATACGAAAAACTCTTTTGTCAACATTATATAGCTACATCCCCTTACTAAGTAGCCACAAACTAAGTAGAACTCGTACTTTTTTCTATAAACGAAGTACTTTTTTATATTATTATACAATTAATTGCATTATTTACAGTAGGTACACAAATAACAATAGACATAAATAGACATATACAAAAAAAGAGAAAATTTAATTTAATTACATAATGGTAAGCCCACCTGCGCTATCGCTATGTATTGACAAGGTATGAGAAGAATGAAATCAGGTTGGTTACTCCATAATTCTAATGCCACCTGGAATTAACCATAAAGGTTTCCACGGAGGACCGGATCGAAGCCGGATTGGGTACAATCCTCATGTTACGCAGGCGGAGTTACCATTCCATTTTCGTTTCATTAAAAAAGTCCTTTGCCTACCCTATAAAAATTACAGTCGAGAATACATTTTTTGTATAAATATAAGTAGTGTACATTTTACCTAAATTATTTTTGTTACCTCACTGATTACAATATCAATAGGCAGATAAAATACTGATATAGATTAATTGTTATATTGATACACAATAATTATCTATCACTTGAATATTAATCCATAAGTTAACATTTATTTGATTATAGGACTCATATCATACGTTAGCATTATAATAATGGTAAGTTATTTTATTATAAATATATTACTATGAGCTAATAACTCATCTAAATTTACTAAGTAAGAACTGAATAAAAGTTTAAAAATCTTACAGGAATGGGTAATAAGTCATTATCACGCGTTTCTATGTAACCAAAACTAAGACTAATAAAAGAAAAACTTTTTTTTCAGATATTTTCCTTTTTGTTTGTGCTACTTGTACCTTTAGTATGGTCATTGGAAATCCTCCCAACTCTAAGGGTCGACCTCCAGCCACCTGAAGAGTACAATAGATTGACTTCAAGAAATGTGTCCACCTCCTGGATTACTATGCCTATAGATCACTTTGATCCACAGAATACGGATACTTTTCAAATGGTATGAAATCTTTTCAAATGGCCAAATACTTACATAGACTGCTATTATAAAATATAAAAGTTAATACAGAAATTTGGATGTTTGTTTGGACGTTTTATATTCAAATCATTATTAAATTCATTATCCAGGGTCGAAAGGTGGAGGAGTACTGGCTCTGTAAAAATGCGTATAACTATGTACTCTTAGATACGTCTTTGCTCTTAGCTGAAAGCTCCATGTCTTATACTGGCGTGGGTACTAGACAATTCTGGAGTGGGCATGGCCCACCCGGTCCCTTCCTTTTTAAACACGCCTATGACTCAAACACACTTAAATGACTGAACGAATTTGAATGAAATTTAGAGCAGCTTTAGTGAAATCATTCAATGAAAAAGTAACCAGGTAGTGAATATCATTACATATCTATATATTTATATTTTGAAGCAAAAACTCAAGGTAATTCAATAATCGATTTTAGCGCTTCATGTACAATGAAGATCTATTTGGTGGGCCTGGGTATCCAGTCTTCATTTTGGTTGGTGGAGAGTGGACTATAGCGGAAGGATGGCTTCGAGGAGGAAATATGTATCTTATGGCCGAAGAAAATAGAGGTTATCAAATATATACAGAGCATAGATATTATGGGCAAACGTTGCCCTATGAGTAAGTAATTATCTGTCTTATTTTCAAGCCAAGTATTTTAAACAATAATCATATAGAACTGAATGTACTTTATGTTCACATACTCGTATCTACAATCTACTATATTAAGGTAGGTATTATATTATTGTAGCTTGGCTTATATGCTTGTGGTTTTCCGAGTCTTTTTTTATTGAATCTTTCTTATTATGATTTGACACTTGGTAATTTATTACATAATTGCTAATTGACAACTAGAAACATTGTTAAAATATCAAAATCATAATCATATTCAAAATACATAATTTTTACAATATTAAAAAATATTAATGCGGACGGGAGTCCCATGAACAGCAGCTCAACTGGTAATAGCGAAATTGTTTGTTATGATGGACGCCTATGATGAAATGGATTATGATGAATTTTGGTATAGAGAGAGACGTGACCCCGGAGAAGTTAGTTTTATATATACTTTTTTTGCGAAATGCTTATAATGGGTGAGTTTTTACATAAAACTTTTTATTGCGTCGTCCGATTTGAATCATACTTCGCAGAATTATTGTTCATAACTTATAATTAAAGTATATATAATTTTTTTTTTCAAACTACTTCGCAAAGGGTGTGGGTTTCTTTCTAATTATTTTACCTCTACCTTTATCAACAACCAGAGTTGTTGAACAAAATTCATATTATCGTGAGATTTATCTTATCCATATAATTGCCAATTAAAAATTGATTTACGAGTAGTAATTTAACCCGTTCCTATTTATTAGGGAAACAATGATCGTCCAATTCTTTGCTATAAGTGGTGCACGATAGATACAGAAATCATTCAGAGATTAGATTAGAGATTAATAAGTTTTCAACTACGAATACTATATTGTTTGGATACCTGTTAAAAATATGTATTGGCTTAGCTATACATTCTATGACCTACTATCATTATAAATACTGCCTTTTAAATTCTAAGATTCTTCGTCTTTTTATTTTGTTGACGTATTATTCTAAAATTACAATATAAGTACAGTAATCATCATCATATCAGTCTTTAACTGTCCACTGCCTAACATAAGCCTCCTCCTGGGGGGGGGGGGAGAGATTTACTAGTAGTTGCCACGCTTGACATGCAGATTGGCAACCACTGTTAGGCTTTGGAGATGTTTTAAGAGGGAGGCTGCTGCCTATTCCTCGCCCTCCCTTAGTCGCTTCTATATATTATACCCACGGTAAAGGAAGGGGTGACCTATTCTATGCCGGGACCACATGGTAATGAATAAAACTTTTCGAAAAATGAGTTATATCTATTTGTTTTTCATTCTTATAAAAACGGATGGAAAGGAGAGTGTGTAACTTTATATAAAATTGCTGTGTTCGATTCAAATATGCGCTACTGTCTATTGGTTTCAGAAATTTCACAGCAGAAAATCTCCGTTTCCTCAATGTAGATCAAGCATTAGCAGACCTTGCATTCTTTATCAACGATTTAAAGAAGCAGCCAAGATTTGCCGAGAGTAAAATAATTTTATATGGCGGTTCATACGCTGGAAACATGGTGTTATGGTTCAAACAGCGATACCCTCATTTAGCTCTTGGTGTTGTAGCATCAAGTGCACCCATTGCGGCTCGATTGGACTTTACAGGTGATTAATAAAAATTTATTGCGGGAAATAGTACCTAATATAATAAAATTTACTTACCTACCTACTAAATAATAAAAAGTATCAATAATGTATTTAATATTACAAGAATGTATTTTAGTGATACCTTTTGCCTATGACTTCGTTTGGTAACCGGGATTTTGATATTTTGATAGCCTTCTTTATCCTAAAACGTAAGTATATACTAAATTTTATGGCGATTAGTAGAGCTGTTAAGATGCCAACAAATAACAAACACTCTTTCACATTTATAATAATAGCAAGAGTGAACGAATGAATGAATGATTTTTTTCTTAATTACCATGTAGATACCTATAAATTTTAGGGTACTTGGAAGTAGTTCACGACGCACTTTTGTCTGAAGGCGGAGATGAATGTATATCAATACTAAGACAAGGAATATCAGATACAGCTGCAGCATTACAGACTGAGGATGGTAGGCACACCATACAAACAACATACAGGTACGGTTTAATATTAAGAACTTACCGAGTTAAGTACTGTGTATATTTAACTATAAAAGCATTTATACAAAAAACCGAATTAGTAAAAAAGTAAAAAAAAAAACGCGTGTCACAACGTTCGTTCACTTTAATCTCCGAATCCTTTTTAAATGTATATTGTTAACTCTAACATGAGAAATAGGATAGTTTTTATCCCGATAAAGTAAAAATGGTCCCGGTAGATGGTGACAGGAGACAAAATAATATTAGCCGAATCAGATATTTTATTTTATTCATTTAGGATTCAATGTAAATTTGAAAAAATAATCTTGTAACTGTTTTCGTTGTTGATATACTTAGGTTTTGCAACGAATCAGTGTTCGACTTCGATAATCCTTTTGATTTGGGATATTTCTCTGGCGCAATAACTTGGCGTTTTTCTGGGCAAGTGCAGACTGCATCCCCTGGTACCCTCCGTAACCTCTGCAATAATTTCATCAATAATGTTTATGGTAAGTACTTATAAATTTGCTGTACATACATACGTACAATCAACTAGTCCCCATTGCAGTAAGATACTCAACATTACAAGACACTATACATTTGTCCAATAGTAGTACAAATAAAAAATCTATTGTCGTCTCATAAAAAAATAAAATATGTATTATACTTAGATAAAATTCTAACGGGACGACAAAGATAAAAATGTATGAAGCATATAGTTGATGTGTCCACCCGACTTTTCAGCCCAGAATCCGAGCGAAACTTCGCAGACATATCTGACAGTACAAACCTTTATTAGGTCGATCTCCCGTGATTCTATTTGAAAATATTGTGGTTGATTTCTCAGTTGTTATGATAGGCTTGGCGACCTGTATCCATTCTCCCCTATTACTACTTACTGGTACTTCACCAGCATAGACTATACTAGACTATACTAGATATTACGTATGCGGTAATACCATTTCATTTATCATTTATTGAAAAAAAAAATCTACAGTCTGTTTCAGTAGAACTTAATAAAAATGTAAACAAATATTTGATCCAACCATAAGACACTATACATTTGTCCAATAGTAGTACAAATAAAAAATCAATTAATTAATCGAATGTTTTGATGTGTCGCTAATTTTGAGTGTTTCTGTGATGATTTCAACTGAACTTAGTTCCCTTTTCGTTACATTTTGTTAAAACTTAATTAGTACTTAATTTTTTGTTGTAGGAACAACCCCGATGGAGCAAATTGCCGGCTACTTAGTGGGGCAAAGCTGTTTAAATGTAAATTTTAATATTTTGCTAAACGCATATTCTCAAAATAATAACAGTAAGTTATAAGTACTTATAATATTTATCTTAATTCGAGACAGTTTTCAGTGAATATTTGTATGAGAATGTGAATCTTAGTTTTCTTTTTTATACCTATTTTCTACATTATTATAATGTTCCATTTATTATTTTTCAAATAAAACGCTACCAAAATCTTGCACTTGCATCGGCATAAAAATATATTAAATTATCATTAATTTAAAGTAAACAATATTAAATGGTGTGTTGTAGATCGAGCTTGGTACTTTCAGACCTGTACAGAATACGCATATTTTCAAACCGCGCCGAGATCCGGTACTATATTTGATCCACTAATTTGGGTAGACGTGCCATTTTATTCTGAAGTATGCAAGAGAATTTTTGATATAAGGTGAGAGAACGGGTGTCGTTTAAACTCGCATCTCTCATCAATACTACCTGCATATGATTAATTTTACTCATCTTCATCTTTTTTATATACCTAATTTATTTTTGGCGTCTGATCTGATTTCGTATCGCGTTTCTCCAGAAAATTATCTACACATTTTTTATTGGGAGAGAAGATTGTTAGTTATGGAGATGAAGTTAATTCATCACGATGGCCTAACTGACTTGACTTCGTCCTCACCTATCATCTCTTACTGGTGTTCCGCCAGCTGGGTTTTCTATTGTCCATTCTATTGTCGTCTCATAAAAAAATAAATAAAACATATATTATATTTACATAAAATTGTAACGGGAAGATGTCTATACAAAGATAAAAATGTATGAAGCATATAGTTGATGTGTCCACCCGAATTTTCAGCCCAGAATCCGAGCGAAACTTCGCAGACATATCTGACAGTACAAACCTTTATTAAGTGTCTAGGCGTCCCTGGAAAATAATCTTATATATGCCAATAGTTTTAATTCCAAAATCCACGTGTATGAAGTTGCGAGTAAAAGCTAGTCTTACATAAATTATTTTAACGAATAAATCTGATTGCACAAGAAATTAAGAACAAGTTAAGATTGATTTTTTTTTTAAGGTATGATGAGTCGTTTACTGCTGACGCAATTGATCGTGTAAATTTAATTTTTGGTGGAACAGAACCCAATGTCAATAATACTATAAACATACATGGAAACATAGATCCCTGGCATGTGCTCGGAGTTTATGACAGAGATATAAAAGCATCTTCGCCTACTTACACGATACCGAGGTAATAATGATTAAGTTATTAACCTAAGTTATTTACCTAACTGCACTGCATCGTAGATAAAAACTCATTAGATATATTTATGCTATTATATCATTTATCTCCATGACAAGTCCTCTAAGGAATTAACAGAGATAACCGAGTACAAATGACCTCTTTATGTGAAATTTTCATAGTCTATGTGTGGTATCGTAATTTAAAAGGACCAATTTCAATACGTTTTTTTTTATGCAACTTAGAATGGCAAACAAGCTAACAGCGTAAAAGTAGTTACCGTCGCCTCTAGATATAAGCACTACCATGAACATAACGGAGTATACTGTTTCGCCAATGATACCCCTATGCGTTGGCATTCCTGAGGACTCTGTGTTATTACTCTGTACGCTGTAAATTCACTGCCATATCCTATTCTTCAAATCGAAACAAAGCCATGTAAACAATTGCTTCACGGTTGAAATACGAATGGGACAGATATGCCCAAACCAACGACTTGTACAAAGCCTCTCTGATATTATTTGAACGCTCATTTCTTTGTTGCTAATGAGTAGCCGTAGTTCAATACATATTGGGTTTAGTGTTTAAAAACTAGTACCTATCGTGTTATAGCCACTATGGCATTAAAAATCCGAGGTCGCGGAAAATCTTTGCTTAATAAACCAATATTAAATTCAAACTAGGTATGATTTTAGTTTACCACAGCACCAAACTAAACAGAGCTTGTATTATATTGAATTCTAAAGTTTATTACTATATCACTTAATGGAAATGTACTTGCAGTGGTAACTGATTTTAAACATCTCGGACACATAATTGCAAGTACGTTGAAAGATAGAATTGGTAGTTAAAAATAATATGTAGGCACGTAGGTTTACTAGGTGCACAAAACAAGTAAAAACAACCATGTTTAAAGCTTGTTACCAGGTGTTCTACATGAGTAGCTTGTGGGTCAACTATAATAAAAAAAATTACAATGCTCTTCGAGTCCAATATAATATTGCCTTAGTAGCACTGTTAGGGCTACCCGGTCGCAGTAGTGCGCCACAAGTTTGCGCGAGAGCTTACTGATGATTTTGATGCAATATGGCGTAAACGAATTGTTTCACTATTAGGCAGAGTACACATTAGTGCAGTGTCCTGGATACAACTGCCGGTAATAAAGATTGTTCCATTCTAAAATATTGAGTAGGACAAGTTGTCTTGATCGCTTATTTACTAACATAGATTAAGTGGGGGGGAAAGAGATTGTTAGCAATGGAGTTTGACAGCCCCATTGCTATCAATATGCCCTATTAGGTCGACCTCCACGTGGTTCCCCCTGGAAACCACCGTGAACAATTCTTGTTAAATTCGTCCTGTTGAGCTAACTGACCTCCTTCATTCTCACCTATCATCCTTCACTGTTGCCCCGCCGGTGTATATCGATAGCGCGGGCGGGGTAACCATTCCATTATCATCCATTAAAAAAAACATAGATTAAGTAAATAACAAAATGTTGTATGTTGTATGCATATTATTATTATTATTATTACAGGGCATCCCATTGCTTCGATATGCAAAACTGGTTAATCACTGATACAATTGAAATGACGCAAACTAAGAATACAGCACGAAGGATAGTGTCCAGTTGGTTATCTGACAATTAATATCAAAATTTACTTACAAGATGTGATCTCCTGTTTTCGTCGATATGTTTTGCAAATAGTACAATTTTTTTAGTGTTTTACGTAAAATAATCGTAGCTTTTTTTCAAGTTTATACCAACAAGCAATTAACTGTTGTTTGCGGAACTAAATCTATTTTTTGATAAATAGAATTACTAAAATAAAGTTTACTGACAAAACTGTAATATGACAATACCTGTACATGAGAGATACTTGGAAAAAATAAATATAAGGAAGCTTAACAAGTGCAATAGAAACCAAAACCATAATTTTTAGAAATGTGTCTGTATTTGTATGTTTATTCCAAGATAACACAGTAACTAGAAATTGCTAGTGATTTCATTCGTTTTTCTTTCTGTACACACAAAAAATAAACTAAACCAAACTATATCTAAGATTAAAAACAACAGCACTACTGTGCTGTCATTTAAAGATAATTATGTTTTCGTCTGGCGGTCCCCATTTTTAAGGTTGGCATCCAAGATGTTTACTCTGGACAATAGAAATTTAATGAATTTAGTGTTGTAATTCGTTTAAGTACTTTGTTTCTTGTTTTATGGTTATTTGTTAGTATTATAACCCCTATGTTACTAGTATACATTGGGTAGGTTTGCCTTGTCTGCTACATCGAGGCATAAAAAAATCTACCTATTGGTACAAATACAACGTTTGCAAATAAAACTCATTCATTACGCCCGATGTGCCGGGTGAACATAATTTATTATTAGTTTCAATGAAATTACACAATCGGATAAATCGATAATTCACATTAAGTTAATTGGAAACGTTTTAACAGGTCAAATTCGGAACAGATCATAAAATATAATCACAAATACTTACTAACCGCCCTACGAAAGTCAAAATTCTAAGTTAAATCCTAATGACATACATGTACGGTTAGCATTGCTCCTAATTAAACCTATTAGAGATATATACTTGAAGTAAATGCACAGTGCACTACTGCCCTGAACGAGTCGGTGTGTTTTCAAAATGGCTCTTTTCCACTATGTTCCTTTTCGGAAACACAACACAAACTATACTGTACAAGTTGTGACGTTAAATTGTAAACATAATTCATGATTTAACTCATTTTTATTAATTTATTTAATGCAATATATGAATTATAGGAATGGAAACTATAAAATTATACTATTAAATACGCCACACCAAGCAGCACAATGTTTGCAGTGAGCAAAGGAAGAGGAAGACGTAAACGCGTCTTCTTGATACTTGCTACACTGTGACGCGATCAGGAAAGTAGTCTACTCTACCAAAAATTATAGCACTTATATTGTAAAGTTCACAGTGTAAAGATTCGAGATTGTAGGCAGTCCATCATTTACGACGAAAAATACAAATAATGTGTCTAAAAAAAAAAACAGGTTAACTGAGTAGTTCATAGCATTTACAATATAATAACTACCTTAATTATAAAATAATCGGCAGTGTAAGAATCACAAAATATAGGACAAAATAATGGAACTGCCCATTAAAACCCCGGAACTAACTCAAATTCAGAAATGGCGACATCGCTTTAAGCTTATGTCCAATCTAAGGAATACTTAATTTACGATAGATCTCAAAAATGCAACCATGAGACAAATGTCTCGAAGTGATGGTTTCATTAAAGAGATACATATGACATAAACATTAATTGCCTATAGAGAGACAGCGTAATATCTCCGCGTCCTCACTACCAAGACACACGTAGATTAAGTGTACAATATACTGGTGGAATATTTACAATGTTCTAGGACTCTGGTCCGAAGTCATTCTACGACGAGCGGTTTGGGATTCTCCCATGGAAAACCTTCACGACCAAAGTGTCCGTAGGTACTTGTTTTCTGATAAATAGGTGCTCTGAGATTAAGTTCCCTGAAAAATAATAGGAGTACTCATATTAACTTATACGTTACGAAACTTACGACATTTTCGTCTTATCTCACAGTTCTGCTCTGTACAATAATTTGATCATTGAGAACAAAGTTTGTAATCATTATCTCATTGCTAAGTACAAGGCATGTTCTATAAAAGAAGAATATTATATAATTAATATGATGACTATCATATTTAATCCGTTTACATAGTCGCAGGTACAGCTGGTAAAACCATATTAATGGTAAATAAATATTTGTATAAATCTAAGAGACAGAGTGCTATATATTTATTTATTTATTTGAATGTAACCTTAATAAGTATAAAATAGCTAAATCACTGTATTTGATTAAAAGTATTTTAAGAAATAAAAATGTAAGTAAATACAGCATATGTGGAAGTGGTATTAGTTAATATAGAACATTCAAAACATTAAATTGGTATAGATCAAATTCAATAATTTTACTTACTTTACAATTTTGCCCGGTCGTAAGTCAAAGTTTTTTAGTACAATGGCCAGCAATTCTTGTTGTGTTTTATGTGATGTGCCATAGTCGAAGACAGTGATGGATAATGGTTCTGCTACTCCAATCGCATATGCCACCTTATGAAAAAATAAAATAAGTTTAATATTATGGAATAAAAATATAACAAGATTTGTAAATATTAACTGGTTTACAAATATGTATGTATAGCAGTATATACATAATTTTAAAATCATTATCATTAGAGAATTGAGAAAAAAAAAAAAAATAGAGATAAATTTAAAAGTACTAAGTGTGAGGGCAAGTTTGCTATGGATAACTTATTGATCTAGTCCAGTAGTCAGCTTACGGCATAATTTCTATTCATAGTAATTTATTTATTGAGCCATTGAATAATATCTGTGCCTCTAGTGAGAAAGGGTATAACTCAAGTTATAGCCTTTTTCTTTTTTAGGCTACTTTAAATAAGCAAATTTTTCTCTTTCGAATGGTATAAGAATCGTAACGATATCTTTAAAAACAATAGAGATAGTAACCATGTAAAAGGCTACAATTAACAAAATATTTGTGGTAAAAAAGTCATAATTAGAAATAAAACTACAATATTTTACAAAAATTATTTTTGTAAAATGAATCAGTTCGATTTGAACCCTTTTACACCATTTAATAGCGATTATTTTTCTATAGCGTAAAATACACAACATTGTTTTTCTTCAATACTTCAATAAAATCGTTTTAATTCAACTTAAAACTATTTTCACATCATAATTTTAATATTTTTCTTAAGTGTGATTAGGTATAATAGAATTATTTTTAAAACTATAGGTTTTACACAAAAACCGACAATTTCATAAGAAAGAGGAGAAAAAATTACTATAAATGCAATCATTGACTTGTTCAATTAGCAAACAATAAAAGCAGCAGAATTTTTTTTCTTTATTTAAGATAGTTTTTTGGCTCTCCTGAAAAGTGACCATTTTGAATTGAACCCTTTCTCACTAGAGGCACAGATATTAGTAAGCGCAGTACGATAATGCATGAATTTACCTATTATAATAGGAGAATAAAATGTATTAAAAACTGTTTCAATTTTCCGCAACAATATCAACATTTTAACAGTGTTTCCATTCAATTACATAATTACTTTTGGTCTTATTATTTAGTAACGGTAAAATCGTATGACATTAAACCATAATACAGTACATTTATATGTTTGATTCAACGTTGTATTGAATCGTATACAAGTATTCCAGTAAAGTCCCTCATAAATTACCTGCACCATGCAGCGTCTGCAGAGACCAGCTTTGACGAGCGACTTGGCAACCCAGCGCGCTGCGTAGGCGGCGGAGCGATCCACTTTGGTGAAATCTTTTCCCGAGAACGCACCGCCACCATGGGCACCCCAGCCACCGTACGTGTCTACGATAATTTTGCGGCCCGTCAGACCAGCGTCAGACTATAAAAAATATATATATTTGTAAATTTTTATACTTCCACAATAACTTACAAGTACATATGTATAATTTGTAGGTAAGTAGGTAGGTATTATTAATGTAATGTTTTGCACTGCAAAAACTTATCTTTTCCCGTAGCTTTGTTCGGGTGAAACATTAACTCCCATTTGCAAGGAAAACATTAATTACTGAATCACATAAACAAATGTATAGATTTAAATTAAATAACGTAAAATAAAAATTCTTGAACAGTTTAATGGGCTATGGATAATGTAATATAGCTTACTACTAAAATATTGGCATTATTTTTTTAATGCAAATATTTATTAAGAATATAGCAAACTATGCCAAAACTGCATTTACTCAACCTAGACACCTCTAGAATACTCTAGAACAGGAAAATAAATAACGAGGATAAGTTCATTATTTTGATTCTTTGAAAACATTACTAATATTAAAGTTACTAGACATTTCCTACCTGCGGACCGCCAATGATAAAGAGGCCGCACGGATTGATGTGTACTACAGTTCTGTCATCCAGGTACTGGGCAGGGATAACGTCCTTGATGACTTTTTCTCTGATCTCTTCACGCAGTGTCTCAAGTGTTATCTGGAAATATAAAAGAACAAATTGAAATCTATAAAATCATAGAGATAAAATTTTATGTTCCTGAACCATGAACAAATAAACATATATAAGTCTATAGGTCATCTGGAAGAGATTGACACAAAATAAATTTATTGTAATTATTACATTTATAAATAGTGCAATAGTAAGTAGAGCTTATTCTATGGGTATTAAATGGTTATAAATCATACATAATAATATGTGCATATAGAACACATTGTAGTAAAAGTGACATAATTATAAACCGTAACACTGACAACTTATTTGTTAGACTGAATTTAAATTTTAGGTAAATCCTTCCTTCTAAATATTATAAATGTGAAAGTGCTTATAACTTATAGCGCCTTATCAGCTTAACCAATCATTATGAAATTTGGTATACACGTACTATACAGGTGGAGAAAGATATAGACTACTTTTTACCCAGATCAGTAAACATATACCGGTCACGGGGACGAAGTCGCAGGTAAAAGCTTAGTAGGTAGATAAATTTATTAACGCATACTACACAATTGTTACTAATATAATTTATAAATATACATAACACAGAGGAAAATTAATTAGCAACATTTTATGTTTATATAAAATAAATGTTGAAAAAATTTAGGTATAACTGTATTATATGAAATAAGACAAATATGATTGCTGTTGACGATAAATTATTATCATAGAGAATAGAGACTTCAATCTTGACCCAATTAGTGCGAGTTGGTTCGGGACTGTTCGAATTTGATAATTTAGTGCAACAAGGGTTATTCGAGCAATTTGATAAAAAAAAAATCTAAATAGAAACATTGATTATGGTATCTCATAATATAGAAAAATTGTCGAAATAATAATCTTCTTTTGAAGTCTTTAAAAAAGAATTACAACGAGACGGCGGCAGACTCGCTTTTATCATATTAGGATTAAAATAGGAATGACGAAATGTGAGCTAGCCGGATGTAACGTTTATCACCACAATAGCAGCAGACAAAACACTTCGATTGCTTTTTTCATTTTAATTGCCAACCTTGCCATTACTTGTAATTTCTTTAAAACTGTATTTTACACCAGACTGTATTTAAAAAAATATAAGTATTTAAAAAAAATAGATAATATAATTGCCATTCACTATTTATAAAGTTTCAAGAAATGAATTAGAGAATATCATAGAGTATCAAATTATCAAGTTTAAGTGTTCAATTACCTTCTCAGAATGCTGAAGCGACACAACTACTGTGTGAACACGCTGTGGGACTGTAGCGCCTCCCGCAAATACGTACTCGCATGTAACCTATGACAAAAAAGTAATATGTATAATCAATCAAATATAACTATAATCTTTATTAAATATACATACAATGTGAACAAACAAGTTCTCTACATGACTGTTTGTTATCTTTTAAGAGCTCAAAGACTCACTAATTACCATTAAATTTTACCAAATTTAATGGTGTATACCTACACTCACCCCTTTGTTTATAAAAACTAAAGCTTCTACAAATCTTTTAACATTTAGTGTTTTGTGACTTTCTCTTAATTTGAGATGTTTAACGTTCTTATGAGTAAAGAGGTAATATATGGGATGGAGGAGGATATAGGCTACTTTATAATATGTCCCAGTCAAGCGAAATTAAACCTAGTTTTAAAAACAAAGCTGTAAGAGTATACAAAAATAGAATTTCCTCAGCTTCGCCCATATGAACCTGGAGTCTTATGTTAGTAGGAATTTAATTATTTTTTTTTTTGCAACTAAGATGGCAACCAAACTGATGGCTCATCTGATGGAAAGTGCTAACCGTCGTAAATGAATCCGTTTCAATTAGAAATTTAGGATATGACAACAAAAATATACAGTATAAAGGTATAACATTTTAGTTCTCAAGAATAGCAACGCACGAGGAATACCATGGGCGTCACAGTGTATTCTATGACGTCTATGGTGATGTTCATGTCTAATGAGTACTGTGGCAGCAATTTTTGATTAAAAATTTGTGAGTTAATATAGGTACTGTAAGACTTTAACAAACATAATTTTAATAATATCTTTTTTCATAGTATTCCTTAGGTTATAATGTACTTAATTCCATTCTGTGAATTTATTACTATATTCATTTTTATAAAAAAATATCCTGTTTTACGATTAGATAGAAATCTTTAGAATTTCATTTCAAATGAGTGCTTTAAAAATACCAGACTAAGTCTGACTTCTAATTGTTATAACAAATAATAGGTGATAACGATCCCGCGTGTGGTCTGAGTAACTAAGTAGTCTCAAATATCAACTGTATACTGGTGTCAAATTCATATAACACCAATTTATGGTTTCCATGCAGGATAAGCAATGTATGACGACATAATGTAATCTGATCACCGTGTTTCCATTTCTTTTGCTTAAATATAATTTTCATCTAATGCAGTATTTGTTAGGCAAATACAGTCTAGAATTTAGGTTATTTATATAAATTTTACATTTAATTTTTTTTATTGATGTTTAACCACCAATACTTCCTATACTAATAGTCTAAGAATAAGCTTAGTGTAATGTTATTTTTTTAAACATAGATTTTATCTAACAGGACCAGATAAAACTTTGAATATGCTTCCATAGTTCAAATGTTACATAAGTTATCAAATTGAGTAAAAAGACAGAGTACAATGACATTCATGATAAGACAGAAACAAGGTACTATTCGTAACATTATTATTCATTGCAAGCATTATAAAAAAAGTTATTTAAAGTAAATAATTCATCATTAATTCAAACGATTTGGATCTATAATATTGAAATCATAAAGGAGATATCCAACATCCATGGCCCATGTTAACAGTTGTAATTTCCAAATCAGACGTTACTAGTCCAATGCTGAAAATAAGCTTCTCTCTATTGGGTGGTTTTACCCATAGTTAACATACTAAACAGGCTAAGTTGGCAACAGTAATTAGACCTTGGAGATGCTGCTGCTGCCCATCCCTTGACCATTAAGTTTCCTTAGTAGCTTCTACAGCACTCACGGGAAAGGGAGGGGCGACCTATTCTATGCGGGTTTATACGGTCATTTAACAGTCGTAATTATTAAATAAGAATTTACTATTAAAAAGTCTTAATAACCATGCCAATATCATGTGTCATATCATATTTTTACCATATAGATTTTTAGTTCTATGAGACGACACCATACCACAAGAAAGCTTTTGCATTAAATTTTAATGTTGTTATTAATTTAAAATAAAAAAAAAAAATTTTGTACTTATTAAGGAAAATAAGAAATAAATAACTTCTTTTGTAATAAACTTCTTATAAATTATTAATAGATTGGCTATACTATTACCTGAGTCTTGGAATCAGGGCGAGCCCACCAAAATTCTCCATTTCGTCTGAGTTCAGCAATTTTTTGATTAAGTCTGTGGGCAAGCACCACGGTAAGTGGCATACATTCTTCTGTTTCATCTGTTGCATATCCAAACATTAAGCCCTGAAGAGGAGAACAAAAATAAAATTAAATCATACACAAAACATAAATATTTATTATTCATTTTTTGCTTAACTAATCTTAATTTATATTATAAAAAAAGGTAGCATATTTTTTCTATGTAGGTAGGGAAAATCTTTGAAATTAAGTAATACAATTTTCTCATGAAAGTATATATTTTACATAAAGATAAGGTATATATATAACAGATTTCCCACACATAGAACAGCTGATTTATAAAATATGACTAAATCTATATAAATATTATGTTGTATATTCACTTTTAATAATAAGGGTATTATAATTAAAGGAGAACATACAAAACTTTTAATCTTCAAGGCCCGGTTCAATTTACTAAAATACTTGAAATTAATATTTTATGTGCAGAATATACTAAAACAAGTGATAATTACCACTTGGAAGTTTTACATGCCATTACTAAAGCACTCAATGAAAGTGTTTTAGTAATGAAAACTAAGAATAAAATTAGGCATATGACATACCTGATCCCCAGCCCCAACTTCCTCCTCATTTCTGTTCTCATGCACCCCTGCGGCAATGTTCGGAGACTGCTGATCCAACGCAAGCATGACACTGCAAGTCTTGTAATCAAACCCTAGCCCCAACATGCTCATTAGCAAATGATTGATAAAAATGATGTCATTATGCAAAATAGTATAATTAATTAGATCTTAAAGATTTAATGCAGTTACTCTTTTAAAGAAGAACACATGAAAACCAGAGCCAAATCTTGTTATTTTGTACACCTGTGCTATCTAGCACCATGGAAAGTGATAGGAAATAAAAATGTCACACCTCCATTTCATGTGACCATGCAATTAATACCCATGTCTCTTTTAATATCAATATAAAACCCAAAATGTTTGCTTCGTGCAGGCTATTTTGATTTGTACCTGATCTCCTGCCCCCACATCTAATTCCTCTCGAGATGTGTAAACCCCATCCGCTATGTTGGGACTTTGTTCTTCAATTGCCAATAATAAGTTTAGTGTTCGCCAATCAAAACCTAGTGTGTACAAAATAATATTTGTCTGTTATAACTACGGAGGTTATAAAATAGGTAAAACACTAAATTAATGCAATTACACAGGTTGAATCAGTAAAAATGTCTTCTTACCTTTAGAAGAATCATCATAACCAATGTGCTTCACAGTCTCCCTTACAACCTTCTGATAATCAACATTAGCTTTTGATGTGATTTCACCGCATAACAAGATCATTCCAGTTTTTGTTACGGTTTCTGTTGAAAATATCATTAATTAGGTACTGAACAACACTATTACTGATTTATAATTATTAGATCATAAAAACTGTCATTACTCACCGCATGCTACTTTTGCATCAGGGTCTTGTAATAAATGTGCGTCGAGAATAGCGTCACTTATTTGATCACACATTTTGTCTGAAATATATGTTAAGCAATTTATTAATTATTACATGTAAAAAGAAGTGTTTTACCAAATGATCACAATTTCATCACATTTGACTCAGACCACGTGTTGTGATTATTTTGACTAATGTTATTTGAAATTATGTGGTGCAGTGATGTAACAAAACACTGATTGTAATGCGCCGCACATTTCTATTTACCAGAAAATAATAGAAAAGATTATTATAAGTGCGATTTATTGTGTAAAATAGACGAGAGTTCGTATACGGCTTTATAGTTATTTGCGCACATGTTTAAAGCGGCCATTTTTCGTATTGCACGATTCCTGTAGCATCTAATGAGGTAAATACTAACCTGGATGACCCTCGCCGACGGATTCCGATGTGAACAAAAACACAGATCCATCTTCCATATCAAAACTGTGTCCGTTTGTTTTCGCATATCCATTCATTTTTGCTGTCTCCGGCATTCTGAATTTAGAGTTAGCTCACAAAAATAACCCGATAAAATACCCCTGAACTAACACTGTGGAAAAGAGGTCTAGTGCGCGTTCGCGCCGATATTTATAAGGTCGGGGAGGCGCTACAGTTCTACAAATATTAACCAATCATGAGCGGTATTTGGATCTCGCACTAATCAATCAAGCGTCTCCTATTGGTTGAATTATTTGTTTTGGTTTTGTCAACCTGAAAAAAATGACAATTGAAAAAGTACCGCCAAATTTAAATTTTGTAATCAACAATAATTGAACAGACTATTCAAATGGTTCAAATATTTTATCTCTGAAAATAATAATTAATAACAGGAAACAAAAATATGTTATATATTTCCAAATACGGTAATTCATTTAAGATTCGTATAAATCAAAGGTAAAGACTATAGGGATAATATTTGTGGTCTTGTAAAGACGTACAGACAATTTTTTTTAGTTTTATTAAATGATTCATAATGATGCACTGATTACTTTGATTTATATTTCACAATATACTTAAAAACGGTTTTTGATTTTAAAGCCCTAAAAATGCCCCTCAATTTAATTAATACATATATATTAATTTACAAACAAGTAAGTAACAAAACGTTACAAAACAAGTAAGTACTAAGTATACACATGTATGTGTATACTTAGATTATAAAGTATATAAATTGGCATTGTACCAGACAGAAAATATAACAACCTGTATGTTAGAGCGAGAGAGACAATAGGATAATAATTTGCACGACATATGCTCATAGCTGTATAGCGGGAATATAAACAAAATAATTTCTAATTATTTCTCGGCATTAAGTTTAAAGTAATTAGTTAAAATTAAAGTGTGCTTTACCTGAATGTAATATAAATAACAGAGAAAAAACAATTTCATATTTTACGTGTAAATATGCTTGAAACATTTCACTTATTTCAATACAGTGTTTAGAACCATAACAAATATTTTATATATAATTTGTTATATAAATTAAAAAAAAATTAAAAATATTTTTTTAGTGACCACAGACCCATAAAATAAAATTATAATAGCGTTAATCAATTGTAATACAAGATTTTAATCTTATTCTTATTATAATTCATCCATTATACACGGTTAAGCAATGATTTCTTTTATATAATATAATTAATTATGTCGTAATATTACGACGTAAAGTAACATTCTGAATCTCAGTGATATATTTGATATTATTACTCAAATCATCTATACCTTTATTAAAAATAAGTAAATTTTTGTCTTTCTTAGTATGGACTATCATATCCGATTAATTTAAGGATGTCAAGTTAGTATTTTAGATTTTTTTTTAGATTTCGAAAGAATAAATCAAAATTACCACCAGAGGGAGACTTTGTACAAAAGTCGTTTGTTTGGATACCTCTGTCCCATTCATGTTTCAACCGTAAAGCAGGTGTGTTTGCATGGCTGTGTTTCGGTTTGAAGGGTGGAATATAGCGCGAATTTACAGAGCACAGAGGAATAACATCTGAGTCCTCAGGAATGGCAACGCATGGGGGTATCATGGGCGTAACAGTATACTCTGTTATGTCCATGGTACTGCTCATGTCTATAGGCGACGGTTACCACTTTCCATCAGGTGAGCCGTCAGTTGTTTGCCATTCTAAGTTGTATAAAAAAAAATTATATTATATTTTTTTTTTGTTGACATGTTTTGTATGTATATTATACATACAATGTGTTTGCTTACTGTGAGTCAATATTGATAACTTATTTAGAACTCGTCGGTATAGAGAAAAACTTAAACAAAATCGTCCCGAAGAATTAGAAAAACAGAGGAAAAAAAAATTTAGATAGATTTAGGTCAAAAAAAAGGTCTGTCAACTGACACCAGAAGAAGTCAAAATAAGGAGAAAAAAGTGGAGAAAAGAAAAAAGAACTAGTAGACAGAAACAAAACAAATTCAAAAATCTGGGTATTTCACAAGAGGGAAATTCAACACCTGGTAGTTTTACACAAGAGAAGAACTCAAAATCTATTTTTAGAAATGACAAAACCATTCGAAATCTGCGAAATAAATGTAAAATTCTAACAAATAAATGCAAACGTTACACAACACACAATGAAAAGATTATTAGAAATAGTGAAACTTCTCGAAAGCGGTACCAAAGACTTAAACAAAAAACACAAAAAGAGATTGAAGGCCTAAATTTACAAATATTAAAAGTAAAAGCTAGAGAAGAAACATGAGAAAAAACACTGAAAACAACCTATTAAAGTTGTGCGAATAGGAAAGAAAAACAAACCTTAAAAAAATTAGTAACAAACTCCAACAACAAGACTGTTGTTTCTAACATGTTGGGACTGAAAGGCAAAGTAAGAGATAAGAAAAAGAAATTGAGACGTCACGATATTGCAGAAATAACAAAATTTTATACAAGAGACGACATAAGTCGTAATACAGCCGGTAAAAAGGAAGTTCGAACCAAAAATAAGGAAAAGCTCCAAATCCGCTATTTATTAGACACACTCGTTAATACTTTTAAAAAATACAAAGCTGAAGGTGGACGATACGATTTTACGACATTTTTTAAACATAAACCATTTTTCGTGTTGTCACCTAGCTTATCTTCAAGATCTACTTGCTTGTGCGTGAAGCACAGCAATTTCGGATTTCTTCATACTGCTTTCATCAGAAATGGTTTAGTTACTAGCAGTATACCAGACGTTTTAAGTCAAGTATCGTGTAACCGGAATTTCTATGAGTGCATGTGGAGTAAGTGTCTCAAATGTAAGTACAAAAAAGTGCAATATCAACAATTAAATGCCGAGAAATTAAAGCAGTAAGTGGAATGGTCACGCTGGGAATGACAAGATCATACATATAAAAAAAAAGTTGGAGAACCGATTACAACTAAGAAAACAGCGAAAGTGACAAAGAAAGGAATTATTAGTGACTTAATAAATAATTTTGAAAAGAATTTGTTATTGTTTAAAAAACATTTTTTTAACATTTAACACACCAACAAAAGCAATATCAGAAGGCAGTATCAGAGTTAAAAGAAAACGAAGCTTTGATAGTATGCGACTTTTCTGAAAATTACCAAGCTAAACTTGCGGAGAAGATCCAGTCTATGCATTATGGGGCATCAAATCTTCAAATATGTCTGCATACTGGAATGGTGTTCTGGTCAGACCGTTCTCAATCATTCTGCACATTATCAGACAACACAAGTCATCAACCTGCAGCGATCTGGGTACACCTGACTCCTATTATTGACATGATAAAGCGAGAAACCTCTGAAACGACGATAATACATTTCTACTCGGACGGACCATCTGCACAGTATCGCCAGAAAAATAATTTTTATTTACTGGTTTATTACACACAAAAGTATGTGCTGCAATATACCACTTGGTCATTCTATGAAGCAGGCTACGGAAAAAATTTAGTAGATGGGATAGGAGGTAGTATCAAACGCACTCTTGACAGGAAAGTATGCATTGGTAACGATATTGTCTACGCAAAAGATGCTTACAATTTATTAAAACAATGTTTAAAAGCAACCAAAGTATTTCTCATTGACAGTTCTGAGATTGAAAATGTTACGAAAATTTTGCCGGCCAAAATACCAGTACTAAAGGGAACAATGAATTTACATCAAATTATTACTGATCAAAGTGATGATCCATTGACTATAAAATACAGAGATCTGGGTTACTTTTGCAGTGACCTGAGAGGACAATGTGCCTGCTTTTCACCGAAATTACATTCCGTACTGCCCAGTTTAAGTAATAATGAGTTGTCCCAAAACTACCCCTTAACTTCAGAAAAATCAACGGCGAGTACATGCCCGACCCAAGAACCTCCTTTATCATTGAATTTAGTTGAGGAATTTAATATTCCCGAAGAACATTTCATTGATGACTTAATATTAACTTTTGAAAGAGACCAAATATGTCCTAGAAACGATCATGACGCTGAAGATCCCTGGTATAAAAATATCAATGCTTTATCGGACACTGAGAAAGGTTTACTAAATAATAACAACAACGACAAACTCGCAACTTTAGCTTAGTTATTTGATGTAAACTCCCAAATTATAATTTCATCGGATATTGAGAATAGTTTGCTAAGAAATAAAAGTGCTGTTAAAATTGAAACTTTATCTCAGCCTTTTGATATTAAAGAGATGCAGCCTTTGAATTTACAAGAAAAAGAAGTGTCCAGAAAAAAACCTGTAGCTAATAAATTCCAGAGTCACTGCGTTGATCCGAAAAAGCTTATAATTGTACCATAAGACGGGAGACAACCTGAAACAAAAGTAACTGAAACTGAAGGAGCGAAAACATAAAAAATTAGAATAATTGAAGATGTTAAAATAACAGCATCTTTAACAAACAACCAGACACAAACAAGTAAAAAATCTAAAATTGCATTAAAGATTACTTTTCTTGAATGTCATAAATGCTCTTCTACTATTTTTGGCCAAAAAGAAAAATGTGTTGTTAGCCAAATCTGGTTTTGTGGTGAATGCACAGCAAATTATACCAGCACTAATTATATTTGCGAATCATGTTTGGAAGGTAGTGTATATTCTCTAATGCTTATCTATAAGTTACACTTTCTAAATCGATATTTGTTACTTCTATATATATATTTTTCTCTTTGTTACAGATTGATTGATTGGTTACATCTGTATTCTTTGGTTACATCCGACGCTTATTAGGAACTGTAGTTGACAAAATATGGTGATCTTTCATGACGTGGATAAAGTATTCACAATGCAAGGTCTGGAGCAGTATTATATTGATGACGCTAAATGTCCCTGGCCCATAACTCATTTTATTGTAGTTGACAAGTGTTTTGGATGCCGACAAGAGGTAAATCATTCAACAAGACCACAACATTTTACATTAACCATGAGTAAAACTGACATTTGGAATTTATTGCAAATTTCATACTTCTGGTGTTCATTTTGTAGTTTTTGTGTTTATGACCATTTTACTTCAGACGAATGTGATGTTTGTTACAATGGTTAATATTTTTTAAATTATGATCTTTATTTTTATATGTTTTTGATAGGTATGTATGAATAAGATTTCAAAGTAATATTAACAAGGGATATATATTAATAATGTTGTTCATTAGAGGCTCATAATTTAATTCAGTCTTCTTGAATTTGCCAATATTGTTGTGATAATACTATCTAAGACTGATATCATTAAGTGTTATGAATAACTTTCTTAAGAAGTGTAACGGTTTATAGTTTTTTTCGTTGATTTAGTTTTATTAAAGGGTTAAAAAAGCATTGAGACTGATTATATTCCTTACTAAAAGGAGTTATATTATTACAAATAATGTTTACTATTTTTGTCTTTTTAAATAATGTTTTGAACTGGCATTGATACATATAAATTGTGTAATTAAAATATTTATCATTTAAGTGTTAAATGTTCTTTGTTTTTTTTAAGAGTGAGGCAATAATTTCACTACTTCTTAACTTTCAAAAACTTTCTAAAAAGTACCTATTTTTGATATTTTTCTTACCAAGAATGCGCCAAAGTGCCATGATTAGTTTTAAGTAAAAAGATGAGTGCTACTCAAAATGTCATTATAATAACGAATTAGTCAAATGAAAATGTGTCATTTAATATGATTGTGATACTGTTCAATTAAATGTTAAAAAATATTAAAATAAGTATTAAAAAATATTTAATTGTTCACCCAATGTTTAATAAATGTGAAAAAGTACTATGACTTTGACTACCAACGTTGTGTACCATGTAATCTCAGCTTAAGGTCTTTCAACGACAGGTTCAGGTTCAGGTTTTGTGACAGTCCCAACTTCAATGTGGACGAAATTATTTTTTAACAATTTTGGTTTTTGATATATACTTAGCAAATTTGTGAACATTTTTTTATTAAGTTACTATTGAACATTTCAATAATAAATTTCAAAACTAGTCGCTTTACTAAGAGAAATAAAGAGAAAATTCTGATCATCAAAGCATCACTTGTCACAAAACCGAGCCTATAAGTTCATTTTAGGACAGTGGGATTTTCAGTTAAGATTATTATTTATTTATTTCGATGAACTGTAATGTTCATCAGCTAGAAAAAATAAAAATCTACTTATATTCCTAATTTTTTTTAACAATAAATAACTTCAAAACCGTCACAAAACTGACCACTATTTCACAGCAATATCCACTTTTTAACAGTTTTTCGTATAATAAAAAGGGGTTTTAATTACAATCAAATATAAATTCAACTCCATCAGTTAGTTTAGAACATTTTAGAACCTTTAATTAACTAAAACTTACAACAATAGCAAAAATTGGAATTTTTTATCAAGGTACACTTTGAAATGAAAATGCCCATCTATCATCCTTCACTGGTGCCCCGCCGGTGTATACCGATAGTGCAGGCGGGGTTACCATTCCATTATCACCCATTAAAAAAAATAACAGCCCCATTGCTAGCAATATACCCTATCAGGTCGACCTCCACACGGTACCTCCCCGAATCCATTGTGGTTAATTCTAATGAAATTTGTCACACTGAGCAAACAGACCTGCTTTCATCTTCATTTATCATTCCTCATTGGTACCCTGCCAGCGTATACCGATAGCGCAGTTGGTGTTACCCCTCCATTATCACTCATTACATACTAGACGTAAAAGGAGGAAACGCGTAGAGTATGACTTGATAGGGTATATTACATAATTCATTATTTGAGTTCTGTCAGGTACAGAATATATATTTGTCAAGATAATCTGCACTCTGTAATTATAGATAAATTCAAGCAGAATTTGACTCACCTATTGCATCAGTGCATATGAATGTATATTGATTTTCAGATAATAGTACCTATCGTCGTGTGGTTAATAGTAGTTTCATTTTGGCCAAGTATTCCTAACTGCGCAAATACTCGTAGATAAAATAAATATAATAATAAGTGTCTGTGCATGTTGTATGCCATTTTTATGACGACCTTTGGCTGTTAAACATCTTGACTAAACAATCACACACAAAAATCTTTCACCCACACAGGTAGAAAGAATTTTGTCTAAGTGTGATAATATTTTCCATAATGTTTGGTCTGAGACCATATTTATTTTATGTTAGGCTGTTAAGTTACGACATGTGATCAAGCATGCAAAAAACTCATGCGTATGTTATGATACAGTTGAAAATTTTATGCAACAAATAAAAATGTATGATGAGTACCTTTCGCCCATCGTTTTGTGCTGGTAGATGAAGAAATAAGTATCTTCTCGGTAGTAGTGTACACCTATACATATCATGGATATAGCAAAGAATTTATCATAGATGTAATGTAGTATAACTTGGGTAACAAGGAGAGAGAAGGTATTTTTAGTAATGGGACTAGCAGTCCCATTGCTAACATATACCTTATCAGGTCAACCTCTCCGCGATTCCTCCTGGAAATTATCATGATTTAATTTAAAAAAATTCGTTATGATAGCCTAACTGACCTGTTCAATTCATCCTCACCTATCATTCCTCAATGGTACCCCGCCAGCATCGACCGATGATAGCACAGGTCAGGCGGGCCTACTGTTCCATTATCGTCCATTAAAAATAAAAAGATAAGTAACCACGCATCAAAGGATTACCATTGGTACCTTATTGATAAATCCAGATTATTCATACAAGTGACCCAGACAAATGTTTGATTTCTAACTGGAGTTAAACGAACAACAAGACAACGTGTAATGGGCACAGCACTACACATTACAACTACTAACCATTGCAGATACTATTATTTTTAATTTATGGAAAAGGCAAAAAACCATTAATTTGAATGAGCTCATGTTGATGTTCAATATACAACAGACGGTAAAAGATACGAAAAAAAAAACGTACTTATAGAGACATTAAAGGTAGATTTATTTAGTAATAATGAGTTTTATCCATGATTTGAACTTACTACATGTATTATTATTAACGAATAAGGCTAGAGTATTGTGTATAAAAAGATCAAGATGAGATTTAAGAAGGTAAGAAAATTTTAAAACGAGGAATAGCAAAAGAAAGTATTATAAAACGAGGTTCTTGAAGGTATTATTGGTTCATAGCGTTAATTTCAATCAAAGATAATTTCAAATTAAGAATAATCAACAACAATCTATATAAGCGTATAAAATAGGCGGCTGAATGACTGACTGACCCGTATCGTGATGGAAACCGCTGAATCTAGAATCTTATTTGCATATTTAGGTACATAGGTTATATACATACATTCTCGCATACAGATACATAGGTTATTTACCTTAGGTGAACAGTAAGAAAGGAAATTAAAAAATTCAACCCTTAAGGGTTAAAACCCCTTAAATTAACCCCCCCCCCCCCCTTAAGGGAGTGAAACGAGGTTTAAAACATTGTATGCAATATTCAAGGGCATTTCCTAAAGCTACAACAATTAAGATACATCAAAATTAACTATGATATTACGTGCTCTATATAACAGTTTATTAGGCATATCGTAATAACTGTGGGAACTTACCCCTTCTATATATAATCATTGGAAATCACTTAAGATTGGATCATTTAGCACTGATTTACTAATGCCGATAATGTTAAAATATTGTTTCTATTCACTAGTATTATAATAACGAAATTCAATTAGGTCAGCTTAAACCACATCACAACTTTTATTATTCTACTTCTCCAAACACGCTGTCTGCTGTGACAGTCAGATTGTTTTATACCTGCATTTTATTGATAATATATTATTCAACTACCCTGTGACTACATTTCATTGACAGCTAAATATATACGGGGTAGATATACCTTCCGAATGACAAATAGTTCCCTAAAAATCTCATGCAATTATCTATTACAATAAAATTAATATTTATATGTAAATTTATTAATTTTAAGTTAGGAAGGCATTGTTTTAAATTTACCACCTTATTCATAAAAACTAAAATGTCCTACAAACCTATTTTAACTATTATGTTTTATCACTATCTTTCAAATTGAGAAATTAGTGCAAAAGAAAAGGACAAAACACTTTAATGGCTTAAATAGGTTTATAAGAGGTTTGACGTTTTTATAAATAAGGGAGTTAGTCTTTTGCTAAGAAATAAAGCGATTTTATTTTTAAATACCGTTCTCCTCTGAAGATAAATTAAGTGAAAGATATAAAATAGGAGATTACAATATAAACGAATTCCTTGTTGATAAAATCACGGAGACAGAAAAGTAATTCCCAATGTATGGGTACCAATCGATGAACATCTACTTAAAAAAGTGGGATTTTTTATTAATTAAAATTTTTTAATGACAAAGAAGATTATTTATTTATTTATTGAATACTTTATTGTACACATTAGTTATAAAAATATGAAAGATGTAATCAAAAGTACAAAGGCGAGCTTAACTCTGACAAAGTTGTCTTCCAACAAACCCAAAGTATTAAAGATTATAGTAATATTAAAGCTATTAGATAATGGATATCGAATTATATTCTTTTTTGAATCAATTATTGAAATTGACCATTTGTATCGTATTTATACCTGAATATTTAATTCTGATTAGACACTTGAAAATTTACTAATTGTGAGTAAATTGATTCTATATATATAGTATAGTCGATACCTGCTGCAGTCTTCCACTTTCGCATCACATGAACTTATAGATGAATTGATACATTTACTCAATTATATAATATATCTAAGTGCAAGCATGTAATCGGTTTTGGATAAAATGTACACATTTTATTTAAAAATGGTAATGTGATTAAGGGTGTAAAATGTAAAAATTTTGTCATTATGCACCTCTGCATGTTCAATTTTAAATTTTTGCGTTGTCTACACATATTTCAAATACACTATCGGGACTTAACACACACGTTATGGTCACAGCAATTTACGTTGAAACGTTGGCAATAAAGAAGCAGGTATGCAGGTACTATTTACCTGCAAAATTTTTACATCGTGTTAAGTCTTGATAGTGTATATAAAATTGCAGTATACTCATTAGATTATAGATATTATATGCTAATGTTTAATAAGTAATTAGCATTTATTAGAAAAAAGGAAAATTGCATAATTATTAGACTTACATTTATGTAGATGTAACGATAAACCCAAGCTCTTAATATTTCATAGGCAATAAAATATTTCTTGAATTTAACATTCACCACAAAATAACATACCTAATTAAAATCTTTAAAATCTGGACCACGTATCTCACTGAACAAAGATAGACACCAAATGAGTTTGATCCGATGATGTGAGGTGTACCTATACAGTGAGAATCTAGAGATAACTGAATGCTCCAAGAGCATGACATTCAAATAGTTATACCTATTTATTCGCTTATCCAAATTATATTTTGTTAATCATAAACAGAAAAATACACTAATTACTTCCATCGTCACCATATAGCAATTTTTATATATTTTTAATTATAACCGACTTTAAAAAATGAGATGAGAACGTTCGTAGTTCGAATCTAAGGATTTTCTGTATGCGCAATATATTTTTAATGAAAAGGGGTGGTCGATACCCGTTTTATCTCCATTTGTATGATTTATAATATTTTTTTATATTGAGATATAAAGCTAAGTTTAAAGATATTTCTTTACCAATTAAGAAACAATTTTGATGGTTCTTTCTGCAATCGATTTACTCATTAATCATGAAATTAGTTTTTGTGAATAAAATCTTGAAAGACTTTTGTCATATTGTTAAAATAAATTCCCTATTAATATGTGTAGTCTACTTATAGCACAAAATATTTACTTAATGATATGTACAGTTTCTAATCAATTATGCAAACTGTTGTTCATTATTTTTCATTTAGTTAATAGCCATTTTGTTAATAGATTACTGAAAAACCTATCAGAAATATTATTGGGATGATAAATTACTATTATATAAACTCATCAATCAAATACATTTTTCAAATTTGATCATCTTATCAATTTCATTAAGAAAATATCAAGAAAATCTGTTACTTATTCCAAGGTAAATATGTTATATACGCATATTCTTTATTAATATTAGTAATTAGTGTTTATTAGAAAAAAAAGGGAAAATTGCATGAATATTAAACTTACCTTATATATTATATACTTAATATATATTATATTTTAATATTATGTTTGCTTCAATTTGAGAGATTCTCAATTGAGATATCCCATAACGTGATACTAATTAGAAACTCTTACTCTCGTTCTTAATTGCTTTAACTTTAGGTACGTCTGCTAAAAATTATGACGCTTTATATTTCGCGTAATTCATTGTCAGGAAAATTTAAGTACAAGTTTCATAAAAAGAGTTTCATTTTCAACTGATTTCAAAAAGAAGAAGGATCTCAATTTGTTTATATTTTTTTTTTTATATTTGTTACCCGCATAACTCCGTCAGTTTTAAACTGATTAGGATTTTTTTTTATCTGGAAGTATATACAATCTTAACACCAACCAGACTTAACTACAAAGGAGATTGAAAAACGTTCAGTAATTTGAAAACGATTTTGGAGTTAATAAATTTTAATTTTAAAATGACAAACACAGTTAGAATAAACTATTTGAAACCTGTATTTATATTATTCATATGGTTGCAAATTGGGCTCTACCAATCCCACTTTAAAAAACTACAATATATGCCATATATGATTGTAAGATATATAACACAATTAAAAAACACATAAAAACTAAAGATGTTATATATATTAAAAAACTTAAATGGAAATGGGCAGGGCATACAATTAGAGGGAGAGATAAATGGAGTAAAAAGATAATGTTTTAGTACACGAAAGACAAAAAAAGGAGAAGAGGAAGACCACATAGCAGATGGGTAGATGACATTAGGGCTCAAGCAGGGGGTATTTGGACAAGAATTGCTAGCAATAGAGACCATTGGAGACAGTTGGGGAAGGCCTTTGCTAATAAGCAAACAGACAACAGCAATTAAATAAATAATAAGTTGTTTTTTTAAATAAAATGTCTGAATAAAGGCTTATATTATTATTATATTATGATATACAATCTTACAGATTGATCTCATAGAAATTTTCTCATAGAATCAGTTCAGTAATTTAGTTTTTAAAATGAAATCTGGTTGTATCACAATTAAAGTAGATTTTTTTATGAGTCCCATTTTTTTTACTTTTATATATTATAAGTAATAATAACTGGAGCGTCTAGTGTGCTCATGTTTGTGCATACGTTCGTATGTATGTGTTTAGGCATATAGTTATCAGACGAAAATGAACGTTGTTATTGCCTTATTATCATAATCAGTATAAACACCTGATGTGACCTCTATTATCCATTTTTTTAATCGTCAGGGCGACAGTGACTTCAATATCGCATAGAACAATGTTACTGTGTTCACGCTTCATAGATATATGTTTATTTTTTTATCTACCTACTAAATGTACCCCACAATTTTGTCTGTGTAAATTAGGATAGAATAAAGATTTTTAATCTAGTCTTTATTAATATAGTTTATCTGTGTATAAAACTTCATCCGAATCCATCCAGCCGCTTAAGCATGATTAAGCAAATTTCCAAAAGTCAAAACATTAGTGTATATGAGATTATTTTTCGGGGATGGACCTGGCCCCTTAAAAACGGTGTATTTGTACTATCAGACTTGTCACACATCCTGGAATGAGTACCAGACAATTCTAGGGTGAGCACGGAACCCCTCACTAAAGACGCCCATATGGAAAGGTAAAACCACTAAGTAGTTTTTTACTCTACAAAGAAAAATGGCAGCTTCAATCATTACTAAATTAATTTCTGATCAACATTAGAGTATCTATCTATACAACTATACTACCCTATCGATTACAAAATAATTGTGAAAGCTGTTCAGAATTGATGAATTATCTGTCTGTTTAATTATTATAAGACCACGCAAAAAATTACTATATGAAGTTTGGTGCGATTTTTATAGTTGCATTTCTAAAAATTTAACTTAAAAACCGGGGGGGAAAGGGATTGTTAGTAATGGTGTTTGACAGCCCCATTGCTAGCAATATGCCTTATTAGGTCAACCTCCACGTGGTTCCCCCTGGAAACCATCAATTCTTGTTGAATTCGTCACGATGGGCTAACTGACCTACTTCATCCTCACCTATCATCCTTCACTTATTCTTTTTCTTTCATCATTCCATTATCATCCATTAAAAAAAAAACTTAAACACCGGTGTATGTTTCATCTTGATACGCCATCTAGGAATGGTATATCTCTTTGATTTTCTGATCCCTGAAATCCACGTATACAAAGTAGCGAGTAAAAAGCTAGTTCTAAATGTAGATAATTTAAACGTAAATGTAGAATAGAGTCGCAGAAGATAGGTTAAGCTAGTAATTTGTAGCTAGTTACGTTTTATTGTTTACTAATATGTATTTACATCAATACATTTATGTTTTGTATCATATTTATTACTATTTATGTATCAGTTAGGTAAGTACGTATTGCTAAGTATCAGTTATTTGATGTTTTTGTTGTTACATCAAGTAGCTGGACAATCATCGGAACCACTTATGTCTACCATCACTAAATTCAAATGAAACAAGACCAATATAAATTCATAATGAAATGAAAAGAAAAATTACATCATATCAAATATGCAATTTATCTTAAAAATTTCAACGTTTTACTAGCTGATAATACGTCACAGTTAATAATAATAATTTTGTACCTAAACCATGAAAACATCACTGATATCGTGTACGGAGCTACGTCAACTTTGATAAACTTTAAACTTTCAAATACCTACACACAACCGTGATAATGCAATTTTCATGTTATTCGATGCGGCCTATTGGTGTAATTCTGACGCAATAAATCTGTTATTCATATGAATAATAAATGAATATTCACTTTTATATTTTTCAGATTTGGAATTGATTTATATAATAATTCAGTAACGAATGACGTGTGAATGACTGAATAACTCATATTAGTATTACGTGTTTATTACATTGACTATATAATATATACGAACGAAACGTAACTACATAGTGGATATGTGTATGAACAAGACATGTACTACGTAATGGCTATATTATACAAGTACAATTTGTGACGCGTCCGCAAAAAAAATTTGCATCTGCAATAATGATACGAATAAAATTAATACGAGTTCAAAACTGTGTAAACTCTATCAAGTTAGAATCTTTTACGAAATATAATTATGTGAAAATAAATATGACGTGATATATTACAATTTCCTTTTTTTTTAAATGAAGATTATAGGTAGGAGCAAGTGAAATATTTTATATACCGCACAACCGTACTCCACTACCCGCGCCTGTTTATTTTATCTAGTGTAAGGTAAAACAAAATAGCTTCCTTGGGGTCGATTGTTAACTTTAATCGTCAGTATTTATCTACTTTACCTATACTCGTGTTCCTGCTTGCTGCAGTGATGACTGTAAGCTCAATGTAGAGCTGTTATAAAAGTACATTAAGCTCCGCAAAATTAACGACTTCAATCGTAAACATACGGGGCAAAAGGAAGCGGCAATAATGGGGTCTAACATCCCCATTGTTAGCAATAAATTATTATCAGGTCGACCTCTACGCGGTTCCACCTGGAAATTATGGTGGTTAATTTTTGTCGAATTCTTCACGATGGGTCAACTGACCTGCCTTCATTCTCACCTATCATCTATCACTGGTGCTCCGCCAGTGTGTACCGATAGCGCAGGCGGAGTTATCATTCCATTTTTAACCATTAAAAAAAATCGTGATAATACAGTCACATTGCACACCAAAATGTTTTGTAGTCACATAAGTTTGAAAATATTTTAACGAAGTCGTATCTATAGAAGTGCATTTTGTTTTGTAATACGAATTTTTTGCTTTTCTAAATCGTTACAAATTTGATTTGGAATTGCAAAAAAAACGGTGACTTTAATTGAGAAATATAAATACAAAAACAATATAACTAAAAATATCAGATGAATTAAGCTCCTTTGTCTTTTGGTAGCTAAGTTCTCGTATACGAAGACTTAACTGCTATTATAAATTATGAAATAGAAAAACAGTTATTGTTTTGATGTATAATAAGTGAATTTCTTATCACAATATGTACAACTTCGAGTTTGATTTAGCCATTTTTATATGGAGATGTAACGGAATAAAAAGTGCAAACAGTTACTGGTTCTGGCTAGTTTCCTTATCTACGAACAGGGTCCTAGGTCAACACTTGTCTGTATCATTGATCACTATAGTGTGTCATGACGATATTTTTAGAGTT